GCGAATAATATTTGCCTCGATTTTCTTTCTTTCTCCAACTTCTCTCGGCCTCGTATCGGCACGGTTCTCGCGTTTAGAGAGAAATTCACTTCTTCCCCGCAGCCGAACAAAATCGTCCACCTCTCTCTCCACTCCCAGTTCAGCCCCAAACCGTTGCGGGAATTTTCTGTCAGCTTTGCGCCAATTTCTCTCCATCTACAACCCACATTGAAATCCTTCAATGTGTCAGATCATCGTACATCCGTCGCATCTCCAGTCGATTGTCCCCCGTTATACCCGTGGCCCGACTCGCCGTGATTCCGCATCGGATTCCCCGCCAACTGTAGTCGCAAACGCGCGATCATAGGAACCACAGACCGGAGGCCCCTCCGACCTTCAAGAGGTGACTTGGGTGAATTTCAAGTCTCAACCCGGACAATCAACAATTTGCGATCGTTCTTTTTTCTCTGTCACAAGCTGGATCGAATCTTGTGCACGTGGATCCGCTGGCCCGCCGAGATCGCAGCGCGGATGGTATCCATCGGTATTGTCGTCACCACGATTTGTTTCTTTAGATAAACACAAGAAGGCACGGAAAGTGGTTTACTCGGTTTGAAGCACCGATTTACCTCAACTTTTGTGGACGTGTCCATAGATCACCGTTCCCGGGATACATGCCGAAATGAACATGGAAGCCAAGGACGGCACCCCAGTTCCTGCACGGGACTACAGTGGGGATCGCGATTCCGCTGATATCACGGAACACGAACAATCGGACGTAAAGCCCAAGACTAATGGCGATAGCAAAGCGGATCGCAAAGCAGCTAATGCCAAGGACCCCTCCCGACCGCGACGGAAGAAGGCCCGGCGAGCTTGCTTTGCATGCCAACGAGCTCATTTGACTTGCGGTATGATGATAGATTGATCCCCAGCCCTTGTTAGATAACTAACTAATATATATCGGGTTTAGGCGACGAACGACCGTGTCAACGTTGTATCAAACGTGGACTTCAAGATGCTTGCCATGATGGTGTTCGCAAAAAGGCCAAGTATCTCCACGATGCTCCCGATGGGGCGTTGATGCCAGCTGTCAGTAGCAGCAACAACACCAATCTATACAACAACACGCTCCGCAATAACCTGCCTATATCTAGAAATGGCACAAATGCTGTCAATTCCAACCAGCAACACAGCCAACATAGTCAACAAGCAACCAATCCCACGAATAACAACTTTTACCCTACGCCCCAGACACAGGCAGGATCTTACAATCCTTATCAAGAATCCTCCATGAGCCAAAGCCCGTTTACCACGCAATCACCTGTTTCACCCACTTTTAACATGAAGAACAGCACCAATGGTCGAAACCCGAGTCTTTCATCGACTGTAAACCAGCAGCCTACCCCAGGTGCTCTCTCTGGGGATACAAGTCAGTCTCAAAATCCTTTTGCAGGGCCATTTTTTGATCCTAGTGATCCAGCGCTCTTCAACTTCGATCTATCGAGCATGAACTTCGAAAATCGATACGGTGCTCTGGAATTCGGCATGCTTGGGCATATGGCCACCGGGGCAGCTGGTGACTCTCCTACTGACTCTGCAGGACAGCGAGGATCGATCGGTCGCAGTGGGTCTGCCCAGTTCTCCACACCAGCTCCTGGCTTTGGAGAAAGCCCAGGGAATCAACCTTTCATGTTCGGTGATCCTCTCCTAAATGAATGGTCGACCGGGCCGGCCTCGGGCCAGCATGTGAATGTCGGCGGTGTGTATGGCCAAAATACCATGCTCCCCGAACACATGAAAGCAAATGCACCACATGCATTTGCGATTGAAAGTGGACCAGCAAGCTTCACCAGTCCTGGCTCGGCCCCAAGTCCGAATATTGCAACGGGTGCATTTGACGACGTCCCATTCAATAATATTGCCCCTGCCCCAGCTCCCAAGTCCAACAGCCTGGTGCCGAATGGACAACGCCAGGTGCCGTCAGCATCGATCTTGAAGCACCCAAATTTGCAGGTTGGTCCTAAACGGCGCCACCGCAATCCTTCCTCAATATACGAAAGCGTGAAGGAGCCTTATGCTTACACCAGTGGCTTCCACAATCTGACTGCTTTCATCCAACGTCGCTTTTCGCCGCAAAAGACCGTGCGAATTGCCAAGGCGCTTGCATCTATTCGACCCTCTTTTATCGCAACTACTAAGACTCTTAATCGAGATGATCTCATCTTCATGGAAAAATGCTTCCAACGAACTCTCTGGGAGTACGAGGACTTCATCAATGCATGTGGAACGCCGACCATCGTCTGCCGACGAACCGGCGAGATTGCCGCCGTAGGCAAGGAGTTCAGCATCCTAACCGGATGGAAGAAAGACGTGCTTCTAGGAAAAGAGGCAAACCTCAACGTCAACACCGGTGGTTCGGGCGTACCTCAGTCCGGAATAACGTCACGCGGTAGTTTTACACCGCGCGGCACAACATTAGAGAATTCTGGCACCGGACGCCCCCAGCCAGTATTCTTGGCCGAACTTCTTGACGATGACAGTGTTGTGGAGTTCTACGAGGACTTTGCGCGTCTGGCATTCGGCGATTCTCGTGGTAGTGTCATGACTCGGTGCAAGCTGCTCAAATATAAGACCAAGGAGGACATGGATGTAGGACAGCCCGATGACAACGGAAAGTGGAGCAACCACCTCCGCAAGGGTGGCATTGCTGGCGAGGCTGGCATGAACCAACTTGGTTTCAAGGACGGAAAGGTCGAATGCGCGTACTGCTGGACAGTGAAACGTGATGTGTTCGATATCCCGATGCTCATTGTGATGAATGTAAGTCTCTTAAGATCACACATAACCTCTCATATTTGTGCTCATGCTAACGCGCCATCGTCTAGTTCTTGCCATGCATTTGATTTTTGATTTTTTTCTTTGGATTTGTTACCTGCTCTTGTTTCGGATAACCCCTTCATACCCTTGACAGGGCCTAACATCAGGCCTGTCTTCTTTTCTTCTACTGTTCTACCGTACATATTTCCTGGTTCTGGAATTGTATGATTCCCTTTGATGTTGATTTCATTCGGGCCACTGGGCGACGGGGTCTTTTTTTGTTATATGTTCTCGTATATACGTTGTTCTTCTTGGATTCCTGGAACCAATTCCAGGATTGTCGATATGCTTTCTTGTTTTGTTTTCTTTTTGCGGCGCTTAAAAGGGACAAAAAATGATATCTCTGGGACGGGATCGTTACTGTATGAGCATAATGCCATGATATTGAGTGGGGTCATTTCTGACCTCGTTGAGCCCTGGACCATCAACGGATCTAAATTTAAAACAAAGAAATAAGCTTAATCCAACCTTCAATCTAACATTGGGATTGCATGTGAAGCGGTGCCTGATAGAAAAGGCATCTAATTATATATCCTTATCGCGATAACCCCCACCACACGAGGGTTCGGTCATGTTCAGATACACTCAACGCCAGCATCACGCCAAACCATTGCTAAATCACACAATCAGTATAAACCAGACAAAACGATACTATTCACAGACCCGTCTGTGCCAATATCCACGCTCCACCTTACCCTCACCCGAACAGAATCATGTCCAAGCCGCGCGACCCGGTAGCTGGCCCCGACTCCCCAGAGCCTCCTTTCCCCATAAGACTGTCAGGGCCAGTGATCAAGGGATTTGGCCGCGGGAGCAAAGACGTAAGTCCATGAATCCGGGAACCTAACAACCCTGCTACCATAACCGCGCAGCAACGGACACAGCAAAAACTTATCGCTGACTCGCTCTTGCGGATGACTACAGCTTGGAATCCCCACCGCCAACATCCCCGCAGATGACCTATCCGAGAAGCACCCGGAGCTTACAACCGGCGTCTACTACGGCGTCGTAGCGCTCGACCCGAAAACATACCACCACGAGACGACCGAAGGCAGCACCTCCACAGCGGTGGTTCTGCCTGCTGTGCTGAGTATCGGGTATAACCCATTCTATAAGAACACCGTGCGATCTGTGGTATGTGATACATGACAAACCGGCTGAAATACCGCCAAATGTTGAACCCCGCATTTTGGTAGGGGTATCGGTATCGGTAGCGGTATCAGACTGACGCGCGTTGCTCATTCTAGGAAATCCATATCATGCCTGCTCTCACGGAACCATCACCCACAGCTGCCGGGCAAGAGGGTCATACTAAATTCAATCGCTTGCCGGATTTCTATAAGACACGACTCAACCTGCTGATTCTGGGTTATATCCGGCCTGAGTTTGATTATGTCTCGCTGGAGGCGTTGGTGGAGGATATTCGGGTGGATTGTGAGGTTGCGCGGGAGAGTCTGTTGCGCGAGGCTTATAAGTGTTATATTGTTGAGAGTGGTAAAACATCTGGGGAAGTCAGTGAGGATCGTGCGTGGTTGGTGAGCTTTGATTAAGTGGGGTTGGATATGGATATCATACCATTTGGGGTTGGTGAAATGATTATCCTGCATTGCGATTGTTCTTATTTTTCTATAGCACAGATCAGATCATTTCGGTGTATAGATATAGAGGAAGCGTCTTTTTGTTACCATGTTATCTGATTCTACTAGATGCATCTTCCAAGCATGAAGACTTGCCCAGGTGCAGCTTAGGGAGGTTTCTCTTACTTTCACCTACTCGAAATATATAGACCGATAATAAAATAAATTTGCCTTATATTCTTTACATCCCTCTGGTCGTATTTTTGTATCCTCGGCGTGTTCGATAAGCTGGCGGCTGGCCGTTGCCATGTTTCATAGCGTTCTGTCAACGCGTTTATAAAAATTGTTTATAGAAATTGTTCCCTCCACTAAGGTTGGAAACATAGATACTGTGCCGCTTCTATCAAAAAATCTATCACAAGCTGCCCATATAAGTACTCGATGACGTCATCCAAGAACCCTAAGTATTGGCAAACAGCAATCCGACCATTCCGAACTCCAAATAGATACTTCCCCATATAAACAAGGCTAAATGTCCTCATAATTAAACCAGCCCACACTCAGACCATGGTTAACGTATTCCAACGCCTCACTCGACGCCGAGCCCAAAGCTCCGGCAGTAATCCAGCAGACATAGACGCAGATTCTACGGGTCCTAATTCCGCAACATCTCATCCACACGGAATACATCGAACAGTGAGCACCAGCTCCGGTAAACGCAGCTGGCGATATGAAGAGCGAGCACCCCGACACCTACTTCTGATTTCCGACACCATGGCGTTCGATACCCACGTAGTCCACCGCTTCCAGGCAGAAGGATTCGATGTGATCTATATCCCATTCCTCGGCAGCGGGGATGAGGAGAAGGACACAAAAGCGCTGACGAAGGTGGTGCACGAGAAAGAAGATGAACTCGAGAATGGAGAGCGGTATGCGATAGTCGGTATGTCTTCTATTCGACTTTCTTTGTCATCTTATGTACAAGCTTCGCTATTCGAAGCAGACTCCTCATCCTTGCAATATATAGTTACCAGAACCCCAACTAACCTTATACTCCCAGCATATCACCGACCCGCCTACCTCCTCCTAGCCCTACACCACACAGTATCAAGCAACACAAACCCATTCCCACACCTATGCGCCTTGATAGCCTATTATCCCCTCTCTTCAACAGACCAGTTCACCTACAGGGAAAAAGAAAACTGTGAAACGCCAGGCTGCTCAGATACAAGTTCAATCTTTGGCCCAGCCTCCAAGTCGACATATCTCCCCATCCAAGTTCACATTCCAGGCCCACGAGTCCAGCCCTGCGCGCTGTGGCCATGGATCGGTATTAGTGTCCTAGAAGGAGATGTCACATACAAGAAAAAACATCGATGCTACGTGTACACGTACCCGGGGTCCAGAGCCGGGTTTGCCGAGCGGGAAATTGCAGAAGAGAAAGAAGGCGAGGTGGATTTGCATTTGAACGTCGACGATGAAATCAGCTCGCAATTGGCGTGGAGTCGCGCGCTGGGATGTCTACGGCGCTCGTTCAATATCGGGAGTCACTGGGCGGTTGCTGATATCGAGACTGTCTGGGAAGAGTATTGGGATCGTGTGACTGGGGAGCTGGAGTTGCGGAAACGGAATCTTGAAGGTTCTGGCTTTGAGCCCGCGGTTGCGATGTTGACTGGCCATAGCCATTATGGTGAGATGGGATGTCCCGCTGGTGAGATTTTTGTCAAGTGTATTCCTACCGATGCTGGAGGTGAGTTGTTTTCTTTTCTCCCCCTTCTATTTTATCTACGATATGGTTCGGGGATTTACTAATATGTATATTGCAGGCTCTGATATCTCAACCTTGAGAGATTTCTTCGCTAATGCGTACATCCCTGCTGGGCCGGTTGATCAGAATGTCCGTCTTCTGTCGCGCACTGTAGGTGTGGATCGCATCGTGGATGAGATGTTGTTTGCTTGTCGACATACTGCTGAGATTCCATGGTTGTTACCTGGTGTTTCACCAACCAATCGAGAAATCAAGGTAATTGTCGTTGTGGTGGCAAGCTTCAGTGGAAGTCAGATTACCCGCCAGAGTCTTTATTGGGATCAGGCTGGTGTGCTTGTACAGGTTGGATTGTTGGATCCGGGACTTGTGCCGACGTCAAAAGCCGCTAAAGGATATTGAGAGTTAGGTGGTGTTTTAATATGTTTCTCTGTCTTGTAGATGACTGCATGGAGGTCAATAGGGACTACCAAGATAACATACATACCATACTCATAATCAACATCGTGTTTCTATTTATCTTGGTATCTGTCACACAGCCTTTTAGGCGGCACCCTGTTCAACCGGTCCAAGAAGCAGAGAGGAGCTTAAGGTCCCAAGGATGTGTAGTTGGCAAAGTCATCCGATCGCTTTGACTGGGTCGACTCGAATGGCCCTGTATATGTCCCACTCTTCTGATTCTCTCTGTCCAAATTAGGCTGAGTGTGTCTTAATTGGTGTAGGGAAAAGCAAGGTGGGCAAGAAACCAGATAGATTCGTTTACTATTTGGCAATTGTCTCATAAATCCCGAGTTTATAGGCGAATACTTTGGAAAGTAGTGTGTGTATATTTGATCAAATGTCTAGGAATAACACTTATACTAAAGATCTAGAAGCAAAAATAAGATTCAATGGTCTTATATAGATCAGATTCAGTATATAGGAAATATGGCTAGATAGAGAAAGAACCGGCAATACTCTCACTTCTCACTTATCGACTTACTTCATTACGATCCCTACCTAGGTAGATATACTTCTTTCCCCCTAAGGTCCAATTATAACCCTTTATAGAATCTATATTAAGTGTGCTGTTCTTATTCTTGATTTTGTAGGATACACAGCTTGTGGCAAATATTACGTCATGATTTATGTCATACATATACCTACCTAGGTAGGTAGCCCTGGAGGGAATAACAATCAATGGCGATCAGTATCGGGCTTCAGTCAATCATCCAAAGACGGATGAATTTATTCTCGTATGATGTTGAATTTCTTCCGAAATCTGGTGGTGACCAGGCAACACCGCGCTCTAAGAAACAAAAAGTTATTCCACCCTTCATCCTATACCCCATTCCCACCACCCCTTTTGCAAGCCAGAATCAGACAGACTAGGTATATTTCGACAGGACAATCCAAAACTAGAGAAAACAGCCATGAAGGATACATCTCATCAAGATACTTCCTTGCTCTATCTGCCTCAGTCGTCTTCAGTGTGCTCGTGTATTTTCGACACCAGGGCACACTCAGGATGGACTCAGCCAAGGCCGAGAAAGCAAGAGGGTCCGACCCAATCCTAGTGCCTCAGGCGAATGAAACATCGCAATTACACTCCGTCCCTCGCGATACCCCTGAAGAACAATACAAAGACATCTCAGACCTCCCGAAAGAGAAAGCAGTGCTCACATCTGCACCAAATGTCCCTCCATCGATCACTCGAAACTACCCTGTCCTCCTCGAGGTGCCGTTAACAACTTCCACCAAGCTGAAACAGTTGTCCAGTCAGTACAAGTACGAACAATGGAATTTCAATGGCACTGTCCCTGGCCCGTTCATACGAGCTCGAGTGGGCGATGTCGTGGAGATATCACTGACGAACTGTGACGACACCGGCAACCCGCACAACATCGACTGCCATGCAATTCACGGACCAGGGGTGGTTCTGCATTGACAACAGCAGAAGAAGGTCAGACCAAGACAGGAAGGTTTCGGCTCCACTGGCCAGGTCTTTATGTGTACCATTGTGCAGCAGCACCGGTACCAGTGCATATTGCCAACGGCATGTACGGGCTCATGTATGTGCAACCAGCCGAAGGGGATCTCCCCTCGGTAGATCGCGAGTATTACGTGATGCAGAGCGAGTTTTATCACGAGGCGCCGGAAATCGAGGACAACGGAAAACCGTCGTCGGAAGTGGAGTTTTCGTATCCAAATGCGCTTCGAGAGGAGCCAAGTGTCGTTGTCTTCAATGGACATGAGGCCGCGTTAACGAGGGATAAACCCCTCAAAGCTTCCGTGGATGAGAGAGTTCGTATATTTTTTGGGAATGCAGGGCCTAACCTGACGAGTTCGTTCCATGTCATTGGGAGCAACTTTCAGAAGGTCTATCGCGATGGTGACGTTGTTACCCCCCTGGACAGTTTGTTTCGACTGTAAGTGTTCCCCCGGGCGGTTCTACGATTGTTGATATGAAAATGATGGTTCCTGGGACGTATACGCTTGTGGACCATGCTATATTTCGTCTTGAAAAAGGTGCTGTGGGGTATCTGAATGTAGCTGGGGAACCAAGGGCCAATATATACCACAGCGAAGAACCACCTGCACCTTGTGTTGGCTGCAAATTACACCCTTAATATCGATTTTTCTTTTGGTTCCACAATTTGGTGTTCAATTAATAAAAAATATTTTCTTTCTTGATGTCCATGATATTGTCGTAGAAAGTAAGCTGATATGATTTCTATTGATATCGTAAGCTAGTTACTCATCAAGGGTAAACCTTGGAATATATTTGATTGTCATCTCTTTCCCGCTCTTAACTTACCCTCAAAGCACATCTTCACCCCACCCTTTTACCAGCATGGCGAACAATCAATCCGCACAAGAGATTATCAAGACATTGAATCTCTCCCCACACCCAGAAAAGGGATACTACGTCGAGACCTTCCGCGACCGCAATTCATCAAACGATCGCTCACATAGCACGTGCATTTATTACCTTCTCGAAGGAAAAAGTGGCCTCTCGCAATGGCACCGTGTCCTCGATGGCGTCGAGGTATGGCATTACTACGCTGGCGCCCCTATGCAACTCTCACTATCCTGGAATGATGGAACACCCATCCGGGACACGATTCTAGGGATTGATTTTGCAGCGGTAAGTTATTTCTTTATTGTGTGTGTGTCACGGCCACTTGACAATGTTTATTCTATATAGGGCCAACGGCCTCAGAAAGCTGTTGAGTGCCAAGAGTGGCAGCATGCCCGAAGTCTAGGGCCTTGGACCTTAGTTGGTTGCACGGTTGCACCGGCCTTCTTATTTGAGTCATTTGAGATGGCTGAAGCGGGATGGGAGCCTCGCTCGGACAAAGAGATTAAAGACCAGTAAGAAGGGATTCGGGGATTTAATGATCTGCCGGACGAAATGGAAACATTGGGTAACGGAAGGTCAAATACTGTTAGGATTACTTTTCCGTCCAGCTATCCTCTACCATCAAATTCATCTTGCAATTGCCTCCGAGTGTCTCACTTCGCTGGCTGGTTAGATAAAGTAACTCGGAAGGTCATCCGAGGATTTTGGCATATCTAGATAACTAAGCAATGTAAGTGCAGGTACCAAACAGGTCATTATATCATACATAATATACATATGTCTCTAGGAAAATAAACAACACTCATTACCACATGGCGGGCTGCTTTTGACCCTCATCTGGCACGCTGAAATAGCCTCTATTCGCAAGATGCCGCTGAAGTTCCCGGAACTTGCTGGTTTTAGCCCTCCTTTCAAACAGGATATCAATCTCCAAGTAACTTAACCCAAATGTCTCCGGGAGTCGCAGGTAGCACCAAATGAAACACACGGCGCTAAATCCCAGAAAGAAGAAGCACGATTTCCCCTTCCAATCCCATGCTGTATGATTCAGCATTCGTGGGGTAACAACATTGGTCACGATAGAAGCCATATTGTAAACGATACGGGCGAGGATAACAGTCTTGATGCGCAGCCGGGTGCAAGGGATCTCTGCAACAAGGACATAACATATAGGCCCAATGCTGAGGTTGTAGATGAATGAGAGGAAGGTAATGAGGCCCCCAAGAGCCCATGACTGGGCATTTGTTGTAGGTATGCACCCAATACCGCCTGCAACCGTGAGAATAGCCATTGAGACGGCGAGACCAATGAGGTAGATCCTACGGCGCCCGGCTCGCCTCATCCAGAAACACGACAGGATCGCGCCAACTATAGCTATGCCATACATACCGATAGCAAGAGTGAAGGAATTTTGAACGCTGAGACCGGCTTGTTGATAGAAATATGCTGCGTAAGTCCCCGAGCTGGAGAAGGAAGCTTGCTGTGTAATCCAGATCATGCAGGCAATTTCCGTGCGTCGGAAATTGATCCCTTTAAAGCAGTCCAAGTATGTGATTTGACCGTTGCCCAGATGCTTTTCCGTCTCATTGGTATGTGTCATCATCGCTACTACCTCGTCAATGTTGAAAGCGTCGTGTGCTGTGGTAAGACGCAGTAATGTCCTTCTAGCCTCCCCGGGCCGCTCCTTGCGAACCAGCCACCCTAATGGTAGTGTAAGGTTCGAATAAATAACTAGCGGAAGAATTGAGTTAGGGGACACCTCGTACCTGGGGACTCGGGTGCGAAGTAAACTCCGATTATAATTGGAACAGCCAGGGCCCACTGCAAGGCAAGTGGCATGCGATATGCCCACTCCGTTTCATTGCCTGCTTGGCTGCGAACTACTCCAACAGCACATAGTTGTCCAATCAACCAACAAATGTTCATACTGCTTAGAATATATGCCCGAAGTGCAACTGGCATCACCTCTGCCGCATACGTTGTGCCTAAGGTTTGAAATATTCCCCACGGAATCCCGCATAAAACCTGGCCAACTAAGAACATCTGGAGATTCACGGCGAAGAAAGGCAAGAATATAAAGCAACATAAAGAGACCAAGGCTGTCAGTATTGTCCGGCGATAGCCGAACCGGTCTGCGAGGAAGCCGTTCATAAATAACCCGAGGATTTGGCCAACCACGGCTGCAGAGGTTAGGCCCGATTGCCACTTGGAGGAAATCTCAAAGTTTCCCGGCTGAGATGGGTCTGGGGCTCCATATTTCTGATTGAAGACCGGGAATGTAAAGAAACTGACGAGAAGTGTCGTGTCGTAGCCTTCCATAATGATCGTTGACGAGAGGACAATTGACCATAAGATTGCCTTTGGATAAAGTTGACAACCGGTGAGTAGCGACATCTTTCGCTCCGCCCTAGTGGCTGCTCTGGCCGCCGATGACAGCGGTTGTAGGCTGGGGATGCGGGCTGATAGATCGGAAAAGATGTCCTCATCGTTGGAATTTGAACCCCGCTCTAGGGGAATCTCATCGAAGGAGACTTCCGCTTGGCTATGGCGAGCTTTGGATGCCATCTGGTGGCACATATGAGGGTTTGTGAAAGGGTGACTCCAAATATTAGCTTTGGCCTTTATTCAAGAATTGTTGTTATCATTCTTGAATTGAAGGGACGGAGGTTCATTGGAAATCGAAAGGGGGAAGGGATTTGGGATTTTTCCCCAATACTAGCCACTTGGTATAGGCGGTACACGTTGATGACTCTCTGGAGAACACGGATTGACTCCCAGCGAAAGCGTGATAATTCGATATGATATGAGTGGGGAGTAGTCGTCTTCCCTCTCTGAGGAAGAGGGTTTAACGACCGGGGCTAGACCTCTCTAGACCTCACTAGTCCTCGCTAAAGTCTGGTCGTGTGGAGTAAACCCACGTGAACTTTACATTTAAGGTTTCCCCAGAGTTCCGCCCGGGGAACCTCTGAGTGTCCCGTGCCCAAGGTAGTTAGCGTCGACTTCTTATGTGACTCTCGTGCGTATGCGAACTGCCCGATACTTTCAAACTTGGTCCTTCCTCGATTTGACTAGATGGAAAACTTACCAATTGAAGCCACAGGCTGACAGACCCCCTATTCTAAGTGGCAGAGACCGGGGAATTTCCGACGCTTGATTTTTTATTACTGATTGAGATGTTCGCTCCGAAACATTGTTGACTGTGTCAATCGTCATGGTCCTTCGAATTCTTAATTGGCATGGATATATATGGAGAATTGGAGAGCTAAAATAAGCCCTCGATTACTTGAAAGACATGTTCGAGCGTGTCTTGAACGGGCTTTCCGAGCGGCAAAATTGGGATATTGCTCGCTGACATATAATTATATTCAGTGACGAATGTAGCATTGATGATTCCCGCTCAATCACCAAGGCAAGAAGTAATAAAATGTTTTCATAAATATGTATAAGAAGAGCAAGGGAACCAGTGAAATGGTCTATCCGGGGCCACAAATCCGCTCGTCTAGCAGAATGCATCTTCAAGCGCACGTCAACTCCAAATCCCAGCTGTCATAATAACAAGATCCGACTCCCAGGCCTAATGGTATCAGGCCTGCCCCATAGACGACAGTCACACATCGCCGTTGAAGACGTTTTAGTTGTGATGCTGATGAGATACTACGAGAAGATAGAGCAGGCAATCTGACTGTATCGAAGCTTCTACTGACTGCTAACGGGGAAATAAGAAGAAGAAGATGGAGAGGAAGCTATTGTAGCTGCCAGTCCTTACGAACAGGATCAGGTGATCCCAACAGATGCGACACCTAGCAGTTACCTAGACCCAAATTCTGGGGATGGAACACGATACTAAACGGGAAAAGTGTGTTCTACTTTACCTATATCAATAAATATGTTGTATAACATCAGTCTCCTCTCCGGAGATATGGTTGTTCTATACCGAGAATGTCACGGAGTCTCCCAATGCGCCTTTCCAGTTTCCTATTTGGGCCGATAGTGGGCGGGGCTGAAGGACGTAGGAGCTCCGCAGAAATCCGATTTAACCAAGTACCCATTTATATTATCGTGTATAGTTGCTTTTACCCTGTGGACTACCGCATGATCTCTTTCTTTGTTATTTAGATAACTTCATCAATATCCTTCTCTGGTCAATTAATGACTTTTACTCTCTACTTTCGAGTCCAATTGTCATACCTCCTCATGTTTACTCCTTGCCCTATTCGCCGGCGAGGTGCTCCCGGGGGTAAAGTGGGCATGTCGGATATCTCGGTGCCAAGATCCTACTTAACTGGCCCAGTTTCATTGACGAAAGATTTACGTGCACTGGGATGAGCGTTCGGTTCCAGATTAGGAAACGATCCGGATATAGATAGGAAACGCATTGTCGCGTGTTCCAAGTCACAAGGAGAATAAGCTATCTTCTGACAATACCCTTATGGGGTGTCTCAACTGAGGTGATCTTTTCCTATTCCCACACGGTCGTGAAAGAGCACTCGGATCACCCCGATTTATGTTGCTGAAGCTATATAAAATATCTGAATATAAGAAGGAGCTGCTGTCCTCCACTTTCTTAATCAAAATCAAAGCCTTCAACCTCATTAGGAACCGTCAAACCACAAAGCCTTCTTATCCTTTTATTGCAAGATGCAGCTCCTCTCTCTCGTTAGTGTCATGGCACTTGTGCCCGCAGTGCTCTCATCTCCAGTGGCCGAATTCAAGAAAATCGCGGTCCGGGCTGATGATCGGGGCCACGAAATCATCTCTGGCCTGGGAGCCCGCAAACAGGCGGTGGTTGATGCTGGCGGCAACACCCGTGACCTCGCGATTGCGATGCTGGAGACGACGAAAATGACCACCGATTACACATATGGTATGGACAGGTAGTAACCAGCTTGTGAAGCCAGTATAGTATTAACAATCATACCTACAGGTGACGGGAAGGATGGTGACGCCACCAACTTCGGTGTCTTCAAGCAAAATTGGTTCATCTTGCGACACTCTGCATCCGAATTCCTCGGACAGACCGTTGCCGAGGTTGATAATGGTGCAATCCTCAAGTAAGTTCTCTGGCTTATAGACTGCCCCGATCATGTTGACTGATACTCGCTAGCTCCGATCTGGGCAAAGATATCCAAGCCCGTCACGAGGGTGAGAAACACTACGGATATGAAACCTGGTTCAGTGGCCATCGCAACGGAGAAAGTGGTGTCAAAAACCCAGGCACGGCTGATATCAATGGTGAGTTTTCCTATTCTATGAATCGCTTGACTTATCCTCACATTGTGGATAGCGTACATCGATGCCGTGGCATGGATTCAACAGCAGATTGAGAGCGATAAGAAGTATCAGTCTGATGATACTCGGTTCTGGGTTGATGTCCAGGCTATTTAGGGAGCTGGAGAAAGCACGAGAACATCCCCTGCCCCAGGTTAAGGCCACAAGGGACAAATCTGAGGTTTGCTTTGGTTCTCACTCTTTACACTTGTTTGGTCATAACACTTCTTGCAACTTTTATCACACAAATACGAGCGTTGATAAATAACTGTTCCTACAATATCGTAATAATCCTTACCATGGACCTGTTTCCATTCTGTTGAGCTTTAAGGTAACCCAGCTATATCGCCTAATAACTGCCAAGGTTGGCATATTACGACTATAAATGAAGGGCTACCTATTGCCCTCTAGTGGACCTCGTCTCTGCGGGTTGAAGGAACCGTTGCGTTTAATCAGCCAAAATACCAACGCCTACTCAATTTTACTCTTCAAAAAGAGGCTAGGAGTGAGCACTACAACGGAAAGGTAAAGGCATACCTAAAAGTTCGATGTATTTATACATTAGTCCGAAGACCCCAAGGCGCCCGTTTCATATGGAGAGCCATACTTCAGATACCAACGTCATTAGTCCTAGGGTCCTGTCACAGCCCCAATAGACCCCGCAGCTCAACCAATTCCTTGCTCACACCTCCAGCGCTAGCCAATGTTTTACGGCTCGCCTCCTGAGCAATATGAATGACATCCTCAACACGAACGGAAGAATCCCTAGCCAATCCAGCCACCACAACACCTAGCAGCGTATCACCCGCCGCATTGACACTGACAATGTCATCGGCACCTAGAATAGCAGTAGGCGGGAACAGACGCATGTAGACGCCACCGAAAGGCACGTCCGACGCAGGCGACGCGCGAGAAAGAATATACGGCGCAGACTCTGGGTCCGTAAGACGGGGATCACCAGGCGGTAGAAGCTGAGTGAGCAGAGCACCCGCGCCACCGAGCTTGGTAACGATACAGGGGATGAAAGGAAGCAGCTGAACAGTCTGCTGCGGAAGGCCCTCGTCGACGAGAGACAGTGAAGTGACTGCAATGAGACGCTCGCGCGAGCCCGCCGGAGACATATTCATCGTGTTAATGATATGCCACCATCCCGCAGACTCGAAAAGGGAAGATTCCCGCGCAGCATTGTACATAGCTGCCAATTCGAGACGGTTCGGACACGCAAGGCTAATAGCATTATCTGGCACAGTCTGATTAGGACCGATAGTTGCACCGGTGCTGTTTGCACCGATGTCGAACAGACGTCGGGATTTGGCTGTTGAAACAGGCTCGAAGGCTACGCGTGCGCCGTGTTTGCGTGCGACAGCACTCCACTTGGCCATCACTTCAGGCCGCCAGTTGGCATCGACAACGACCCAGTTTGGCTTTGTGCGTTCGAGGAGAGGTTCCCAGAAGCCGTCAAAGTCGAGCTGGGATTCGGGCAGCTCGACGATTCCCATGTCGGCCATGGCTACTAGGAGGTCCTTTTTGATGTCGTTGATAGCAATGTATTGTGCTGTGCGGGTAGATGACGTCGTTGGAAGGACTTGAATTCCTGCGGTGCTGAGGCCTTCTTTTTCAAGGGTTGATAGTGCGGCGCGGCCGCTGAGATCGTCTGCAACGACGCTGCAGAAGAGCACATCGCTACCGACGTAGTTGGCGGCAATGGCAACGTTGTGGCCAACGCCGCCTAGGCTTTGGCCGATAATTGCTGGGTTGGAGGTGTGCGGTACTGGTGCAATCTGTGTGGGTTCGTCTCCGAATGGAGTATAGTCGCAGGACAGATCGATGGCCAGCGAGCCAGCTACCACAACATCTGCCTTTAGTGTCGGTGTAATAGGTGCTTCCGTGCTGGCTGGTTTCGGGATATCTTCAACTTGACTTGGCAAAGCTACACCTGGGATTGATGGCATGTGTCTATAGGGAAGGAGATCTCCGAACTTAGCATTGATTGAATCTCGTATCTCGTATCTAGAAACAAAACTCACCGAGACCCTGTTCCTAGGTCAGCTTGTTCAAGCTTGGCAAGTTCCACAGCTACTAGGGTTGCACGCTTGACATTGGACTCAACCAAGGCCCGGTTAGCGACTACGCTCTTTCCACCGCTTAGTTCCTTGATCTTAGCAAGCACAAATGGCGTGTTGTCACTGCCGTGGTAACCCTCTACATGGGAAAGGCGGATAGCTTCTTCAATCACAATATCCATATCGGCTTTAGGAATTGAGTGCTCCAGGGGGACGGGGTTGGCGAAGTGAATTCCGGAAGCTACAGGAAGCTTTGATTGCGCATCTGGGGATTCTGTCAACGAGGCTGTAGCTTTCAACCCATGGTGTAAACTTACAAACTATGGCAGCAGCTTCAGCTTCATTTTGAATAACTCGGGGACTGCGGATGCCGCTCTCTCGTGTAAAGAAAGCAGGGAAGTCAACGGGGCCATCCCGGCCATCAGCAAATGTACCCACGCAGACACCTTCGGTCTCGAGGTATTCGAGCGTTCGAGGGATGTCCAAGAAACTCTTACATCCAGAGCTGATCACCGTAACCGGGGTACGTCCGAGTTCAGTAAGATCGGCTATAACCATTTGTCAATAATTGGGGATGCTGGTTTTGTTTTCACAGTTTTCCCTACCAGAGATATCCATTGAGTTCTCTCCTCCGCGATGTACACCACCTAGAATAAGTCAGATGGGCTAAATTCTCGATTACACTTTGATCGTTGGATTTACCTAGTCCACCGGTACCAAAGATCTTGATACCAGCTAGTTCTGACAGGATCATAGTGCCCGAGATTGTAGTACCCCCATACATAGGCTTGCCAACAATACCCTAAGATAGATCAGTTTCAGTCCTCTAAGCCACTGTAACAGCAACTCACCATGCCACAGATATATCCGAGATCTCTACGAGACACTTTCAGAGCGCTCTTATCTTGAGCTGTCGAGGCCAGCTCGATAAGCTCTTCCGTACTCAGACCAACTTTGGCCACACCGTCAAGGATTCCTATAGTCGCTGGAACTCCACCATTGGCTCTCACAACAGACTCCAACAAGGCGGCGAGAGCAATATTATCGGGATAAGGGAAACCTACAGCCCATTAGTCTTGGCTTCCCCGCTTTTGAGCGGAACTCTTCAATCCCAGGAATGAAGAGAGAAAGACTCACCGTGTGTATAGATTGTCGTCTCGAGTGATACGACTGGTTTCCCTGTGGCAACTGCATCACGCACCTCTTCTGACACCTTAAAGAACTTGCTCTGGGCAAGACCATGATAACGACGAGCAGACGACAGTTGGGTTCCCCTCAAGCATCCGGACTTTAGAGCAGCTCGAGATGCGAACATCGTGCGTGACAACATGATGATAGCTGAAGAGAAGATCCAGCTGTACCTCTAGCCAATTTGAACCTGCACCTCAAAGTATGCAGGAAGCAAAGAAGCAAGATGAGAAGAAGCTCCCGAGATCAACTAGGCCCTTATCAGTGATAAGCCGGAGTGCGCGATGTGGCCGCTTCGGCGACCCTAGTATACAATGGGGACCACGTATCATCAGCTTCGCAAGCTCCCCAAGGTTCATCGACCAGACACATTCACAACTTGGATTCTTGAACCTTTTGAACCTTGGAGAAATTGTGTCCTCCAGGTATTCATAATGAGGTTTTTCACCGCCACGGTGCTTGGGCTGCTCGCGCCCAGCCTGTGCGCCGCAACCAACCTTACTACGTCTAGTCGATTGGATCTTCCGTCCGGCTTCAAACCACCGCAGGTTTTCAAAAACACAAATCTGGTTCGGAATACCAATTTGGAAAAGAGCTATGTGCGGGAAACAGTCAATGTTGTTGTGGAGAATGTCGACAAGAAGCCTCAGAACGACTACTACATCCCCTTCTCTGCCGAGGTGTTTGACCGTATTGGAGGCTTCGAAGTGAGGGATAAGAAGACCCCCGAGAAAGGACGCTTCAATGTGGACTACACTGAAGCTGTATCATCTGAGTGAGTAGCAATTGGGAGACCAATGGCCGCGCCAGGGGTCTAGCCTTGTAATGGGACGAGGCACATACACTGTGACACGAATTCTAACATCGATTGAAACAGCGGCAACCAATACTTCGTCATTCATCTTCCCGAGCCTCTGGCCCCGAAGTCGCAGATTACCCTTGGAATCTCGTACTCGGTGCTTTCCTCTCTCAGCCCGCTTCCCGCGACCATTGGACAGGCGGACAAGCAATACCTTACCTACTCCTTCTCTGCCTATATGCCATCCGCCTACACGACCGATACCCAGAAGACCAAGCTGAAATTCCCCAGTACCAATGTGCCGGATTACACAACCACTGATGGTCTCAAGTCCGGCTCGGACCCCGAGCGCAAGGGCGCGACATACACTTACGGTCCGTATGACACCGCCGAGGTGGCCCCGGGCACCGAGCACCCAATTACCGTGCGCTACGAGTTCACTAAGCCCGTAATCACCGTAAACCTTTTGGAGCGTGACCTGGAGGTCTCGCACTGGGGCGGCAACCTTGCAACCGAGGAACGGTACTGGCTCCGCAACAACGGCTCGGAGCTGACCAACCAGTTCTCGCGCGTCGAGTGGACTTACACCAACTACCAGAAAGCGCCTACTTCGGCGGTCCGTGAGCTGACATATCCGCTTCTTCCCGGCTCTGTCGACCCTTACTTCATTGATGATATCGGCAATGTTTCGACCAGCCGCTACCGTCCAAGTGTTGGTAAGAGCGCTGGTAGTTTGGAGCTGAAGCCCCGTTACCCCATCTTCGGAGGCTGGAACTACAGCTTCCGCATTGGATGGAACAACGACCTTGCTTCGTTCCTGCGCCGTGCCGCGGGTGTCGACTCCGACTCCTATGTCCTCAAGGCCCCGCTCATTGAGGGACCTAAGATGGCTGAAGGTATCCAGTATGAGCGTGTGATTGTGCGTGTTGTTCTCCCTGAAGGTGCTCACAATGTCCGCTTCGAGATCTTCGATGGAGCCAACAGCAATGGCCTTCCTGGGGCGAACCACATTCACGCTCACGTGAGCTCTCTCAAGACTTACATGGATACCCTGGGCCGGACCACCTTGACCCTGGCGGTTGACAGTCTGACCGATGAAGCGCGTGACTCCAAGTTCGTGGTATGTATTGATTTCCATTGTCACTTTGTTTATCTCACAGTTATGCTAACTTACCATTAGGTTACATACGATTACTCCATGATTGACGCCCTACGCAAGCCTTTGACTATCTTCGCGGGGCTGCTCACAGTCTTTGTCGCTGCCTGGGGCATTGGAAAGATTGATATCAGCATCAAGAAGCGTTGAACTGCGTGAAATGGATTCACATTGATATCATATTGTCACTTTCTTATAGTCGTTTCCAAGGGATCTCACCAATCGACTTGTATGTTTACAATGTTTTTCAGCTTTCCAGCTTTCTCAACGTTCCTTCCAAAGTCCATGTAATCTTCAAATTAGGGTCGCTCCTTCCTCTCCTTCCTCTGAACGTACTTGCCTACTTGGGCTACACTATCAGATCGCAATTGTAAACAAACCTTCATATTGACTCAGGTATTTTCCTCACTCTCTTCTTATTCCTTTTCTTATTCCATCATCCTTCTTCCCTCACTCCCCGCGCATTTTATCCTCTGCAGCCATGCTTCCTATCGATGAATCGCCGAAAAAATCGCGTCCACCCTCCGTGGACAACAACGTCACGCAAGACTCGCCGTCCAAAGTAAACCTGTCTCCCACCCGCAATCCCCTCGGCCCAGTGGTGGTGTTCATCGCCCGAGCCTCGAACCTGACCGACCACAGCTACCCAAACGCAACCATGACCACCGCCCAAATGCACGAATACCTTCGTTCACTTCTGGTAATCACCGTCGCGGAGCACCGCAAGCGATTCGGGGTCCAAGGGCTCCGTCCCCACAAGATGCAGACAATCATCCAACCCGCCCATACCCGAATTCCAACTCTCAGTCGAATCGGCAAGTATCTGAAAATGGCTCTCGAAGAAGCCCGCTCGTCCAGGTCTGAATGCATCTTCGTCTTGCATGGTTGGGATGGCTGGACAACGGACAAGATGACCATCGCCGAACTATGCGAGCCATTCCGCGACGTCCCTTTTTCCTTCCATGTTTATGCCAACCGTGGCACACCTCGTGAGTTCTTTGAAGTTAACGGTCATAAGGTGAATGCGTACTTCAGACACACGATTCTTGCTGATGATCCGGCTATTGTTGGTGATCGTTCCACCGCGCTTTTCATTCGCATGCTGGAGGTTCTGCCTACCTTGGGATATGCAAGGCATTACCCTGTTCTTTCGGATGTGGAAAGGGATGCCCTTGCCAAGTACGATGGGCGGATTGCTGGGGTTTACGAGCACAATGAACCCGGGGTCCCTCCAAAGCCTGAAGATGCAAACCCCGACGCTCCAAGGTCCGGCGTTTAATATGGCATCGGTAAGTACCAACGGTAATACTCGGTTTGCATCTTTGCCAATGGATTTAACTTTATTCTTCTCGTGTAGCTAGATATTTTTCCAGAAGGATCTAGGAAGGGTGACGTTGATTCATGGAAGCGACGCTGGAGAGGCTCTGGCCTGTTAACAAGTCGGAGGCCATCAATTAGCAAGCAACTAAACCAATACGAAATATTTGCCAAACTGTCCATTGCACACTATAACTTGAGTAAATATGTATGTCGGGTGATCTTCCAGTGAATGACCGCGTACGGTTCGTCAAATTAGACTGAGGTAGTAATTGTACAGAAGAGCAAGATATTGTGGTCATGACGCAGAATAAAAAAAAAAAAAGCAAACTACCTAATGCCATCCATTGACCGTACCCGTTCCAGCAATAAGTTCATCAAGCTCATCTTTTCGGCTCTTGTACAGATCCTGAGCCTCCCGCTCACGCCGCATAACGAACGACACCGCTTCGCGGAGTCTCTCAAGTCGCCGGGTCAGAGCTGACTCCTCAGAGATCTGGAGTGTACGGAAAGCGTCTAGCTCATTTTCAGCTGCGGGCAAAGCAGCACCAGCCTCCAAAATCTTCGACCGCAGCGTCTTGGCACGGTTCTGGTATCCGCCGTAGTGCAACGATAGCTTCTTTTCGAGCTTGTTTCCACGCTCAGCGGTAGCAAAGAGGGATGTTTGAACAGTGTCAAAGGCCGCAACCATGCGTTGTTCTTCTTGGAAGGCGTCCTGCTCGTCATCTTCGTAATTCTCAAGACCGGGCAGAGACTTGGCGGCGTGAGCCGATGAGTCGAATTTCTCTTGCCACTCCAACTGCTGTGCTTCGGCGGAAGAAATCTCTGCGGCAATAGAAGCTCGTGCTGCGTCCAATGACCGGTCATCCAACTGACTCAACTTTGGTGCTTGGCCCTTGACCTGCGCGTCTGGGACGGGGAATTTGCGAGAGTCATGTGCAATCAGGATGGCAGCTTCTTTGGCAATCAGGCCTTCGATGGTGCCGGTGGACTGGGAGGCACGTTGCAACAAAGCGTTTAGATCAAGAACAGCTGGACGAGGTAGGTCTCGCTGGTAAACTTGTGATTGACGCTTGAATTCAGCCTTGGCGGCCTTCTCCCGTGCCTCGTTGTTACGGCGATCACGCTCAGCCGCGTCCTCTTCGCTAATGTCCTCAGATATGGTGGTTTCAGCAGTCTCAGATGGAGCATCAAAGTCCCACTCGGATTCTTTGGGCTTGGGAAGTGAGGCCAGCTTGCTGCGCATCTGTTGGCGAATGAAGTTCTCGTGCATTTTAATGTCTCGGGGCGTGCTGCCAATGAGCTGGCCACCCTCTCCCTCCCGGTTCAAAGCCAGATGGTCTCGCGGGGTGCGCAAAGGCGTAGCACCGGCTCCAATACCGCCAGGCATAGGTGTCGCACCCATGCCATTCGCCTGGCGGAATGGCGTCGCCATGGGGTTGGGAGTGACAATCGCTTGCCGCCGAGGAGCAATCCCATCAAATCCAGTTGATGAGCTGCCCTCGTGGAGAGGTGTGTTATCCCCTCCCAGGAGGGAAGACTGGGTTTCAGTCAAAGCTCGGATGTTCTTGATTTCGTTGGCGATGTGATCCTCCTCGGGGGCAGCTTGCGGAGTTTTGATAGGAGTTCCTCCAATAATGGTCGAGTAATCTCCAAGGAGTTCCTCGGTGCCTGCTTCACCAGAGCCCATTCGAATGGCTTTCTCCCCAGCTATTCCCATCTTGATAACATGTTCCAGTTCGCTTTCGCTGACTTGCGGTGCTGGCAAGTTTAATCCCCGTCGCTTGTGGCTCTGCTCAGCCTCGCGAATCTTCTGCATTTGTCCTGCTCGTGCAGCTGCAGCAGATGCGGCCGAGGTGCTGCCTTTATCGTTCTTGCGCTTCTTGCGCTCCGCATCATCGTCTTGGTCACCCTTTCTTTTATTTGCGAGTTGCTGCTTCCGAGGATCAAATGCTTCCCGTTGGCGTTCATTCTGATCTTTCTCTTCAATTGTATCGTAGAATCCAGGAGCAGCTGGCTTTTCGAATGGAATGTCTGCATTGTAATCCATCTGACCGGGCTTCCGCGTCACGACCTTGACGTTGATACCGGCATTCTTGAGTTCGCGACGCTTCTGGAGAACGGCCAGTCGACGTGACTCTTCTAATTGACGCTCTCGGGCTTTGCGCTTGGCCTTTTTACCCTGTGTGTTGGCGAGACGAGCACGCGCTTCGCTCAGCATTTCTTTCTCATCTTCATCCATATCGATCGTATCGGGACGGGCAGGCTTGGACTCAGGGTCGGGATCGAGTTCACCGGGTCTAAAAGAAATCAGCAACACGAATATCATGACATTTCGTAAAAATTCACGTACCGTAGGCGGCGGACATCGTCCGCACTGGGGGCGGCGCTCTCCTCGCCAGGTCCCCCCAGACCAAGCTCGTCATTTTCACGAGACTCAGCTTCATCCAAAAGTTTCTGGTAGCGTTCGAGGCATTGTGTGGCAGTGCGCCCGACAATGGGGGCAATTGTGCGCCATTGCGTGGGCATCAGCTTTGCAAGGTGGAGCAGCTTCTCGTCCTCTTCCCGCGACCACTCGACCTTGCGAATACCCGGGTCCAACCATTCAATCCAGCGCGCCTTGCATTGTTTTGGGGTTTTCCGTGCGAGCAGAGAGGAGACTCGAGCCCACTGATTGAGACCATATTTGGATACCTGCGATCGAGTCAGTTTTTGCTCTATCAAACGTTGGCTAGGGGGTTTCTAGTGAGTTAAAAGTAACGTACAGCTGCCCGAAGCACTTCATCTTCAATGTTGGTCCTTAATAGAATGTTAGCGACCAAACCTCGTGGGCGGATTTCAACGGTGGCACTTACCAGACACCACCTTTGACGACAGGCATGGCGTGCGATCGCGCTGAGCGCAGTGTCAAATCTTCGAAAATCGATAGTAAAAGATCAAGGCTGCCAGCAGAGAGATGAAGAATGACAACCCACTGGCGTATGGGGAGTTCACGCGCCGTAAGTGATGACAGCTTGAAGCGGAAGAAAAGCAGGTTCGCAACCAAGCGCGGTAAACGTGGTAGCCGCGATCACCGCCCCCGCGCGTGCTGAGATAAGCAGATCCAGAAATTTTTTGGACCGGAAAAAAGATAAGCCAATATTTTCATACTATCATCGTTGACTGTCTGTCTGTGTTGTTTTCCACAATGTCGACCTCAGTAGATGCCCCCCAGCAATTCAAGCAAACTTCCCGTAAGGGCAAGAAGGCGTGGCGCAAGAATGTCGATATCACCACCGTGCAGGAAGGTTTGCGCGATCTGAAGGACGCCGAGATCACAGGGTAGGCCTATCTTTGCTCTCTTTTCTTTTGTTAGCTCTTTATTTTTGAACTGAGATTCTAATACTCTTTGTCTGCTAGTGGTCTTATCTCGGAAAAGCCTTCCGATGAGCTTTTCGTTCTCGATACGGTCGGTAATGAAGATGTGCGCAAGTCTATCGCCAAAAAGCAAAAGAAGCCCCTCAAGTCAGACGAGATCCTTGCCCAGCGGTCAATGATCCCCGCCCTGGACGGCCGGAAGCGTGGAAACCCGAACGTCACCGACGGAGTCATTGAGCCGAAGACGAAGAAGCCCAAGAGCGACTGGGTTAGCAAAAAGGAATATCTCCGCCTGAAGCAAGTAGCAAAGGAGGGAAACCCCCTTGGCAAGAAGACCGAAAATGACTTCTACGATCCGTGGGCGGAAGATGCCGAACCCACGCTCTCGTACGACGACCCTCGCTTTGATTTCCTGCAGAAGCCCAAGCCCAAGGTTGAGCCGGCCACATTAAAACACGCCCCGACCTCGCTTGCTGCCAACGGAAAGCCCATCCCCTCTGTTAAGATGCCTCACGCCGGAACCAGTTACAACCCTGTGTTCGAAGAGTGGGACAAACTGTTGGAGACACATGGTGCCAAGGCAGTCGAGGCTGAGAAGCTGCGGTTAGAAGAAGAAGCCAAGGAAGCTGAGAAGCAGCGTTTGATTGAAGAGGCCCAGAACGACAACGGCGAAGTGAAGTCGGATGACGAGAGTGCCTGGGAGGGCTTCGAAAGCGAGTACGAGAAGTCCGAGTGGCTGAACAAGAAGCGTCCCGAGCGGAAGTCCAAGACACAGCGCAACAAGGCCATCCGACGCAAGGCAGCAGAGGGGAAAGCGAAGTGGGAGGCAGCGCGGATAAAGAGAGATGAGCAGGCCCAGCATATTCTCAAGATCACCGAGCAAATCCAGCAACGGGAGCTCGAACGTGAAAACCAGTCAGATGCGGATGATTCTGAAGATGGTGATGACACTGCCCTCCGCAGGAAGACCTTCGGTGGCAAGAAAGCGTATGTTTTTGTTCATTTTCCTATACCGATGTTGAGACTAACAAGTTATTTTAGTGTACCCGAGCAGCCGTTGGAGCTGGTGCTTCCTGATGAGCTGCAGGATTCTCTACGTCTCTTGAAACCGGAAGGCAATCTCTTGGATGACCGATTCCGAACATTGATCGTCCAGGGTAAGCTCGAGTCCCGCACACCAATTACCCAGGCACGCAAGGCCAGACGACAGATCACGGAGAAGTGGGCTGCGAAGGATTTCAAGACTGGGTACGAATGATTTTGCATATTCCCTCTAAAAGCGCGTACATTTTGTTATCTGGACATATAATGTGGTCCTAAGGTTAGATGAGTTAGGATCAGGTTTCATCTCAATATTTTTCCAGCACTTAAATAAAAGTAAGCAATGATCATATATATATATATATATATATATTCTCTCTCGTATATAAATTGTATATAGTTAGTATACCCCGATATAACAAGTATAAAGTCCCATCGCTACCTGGTCAACTATCAACCCCAAAATAAAAAGTGGGTCCCGAAAATTTACTTGCTTATCGTCTTTTTTTATCTTTCCCATCTTCTCTCTCACCACCAGAACACAGAATGGACAAGACAGCGCTTTCCAGTAATTGGAAGAAGCTGCAGGTGACGTTGAAGAAAGATTCTACTGTCAAGCGCAAGCCCTCCGACCGCGAATCCGGAGATGGCATCGTGAAGAAACGCAAGTTGACAGAGAAGCAAAAGCCGTATAACCCAGACGCCAAACCAACCCTCAAGCGCAAGAGAATGTCCGATAAGAAAGAGACTGGCGACTCAGCCGATGCACCCACTAAGGTCGAGACGAGTTCGCGTCACAAGGAAAATGAAGGCCGTTCATCAACGTAAGTGCTATACTATTTGGACTGCCCTTTTACTGTCAGTTACTAACTATCCGCCTCCAGCGCCGAACTAGGAAAATATGTCGCAATGGATTGTGAAATGGTGGGCGTCGGACCGAACCCCGACAGCGACTCTGCACTTGCCCGCGTCAGTGTGGTGAACTTCAATGGCGACCAAATATACGATTCCTACGTGCGCCCAAAGGAGATGGTCACAGACTGGCGCACGCATGTGAGTGGGATTGCCCCGAAGCACATGGTGGAGGCACGAACTCTTGAGCATGTCCAAAAAGAAATTGCAGATATCATGAAAGACCGCATTCTCGTCGGTCATGCGGTCAGCAATGATTTGGATGCTCTCCTCCTCAGTCATCCCAAGCGCGACATCCGAGACACGAGCAAGCACGCGCCATATCGGAGGATCGCGGGTGGTGGATCACCACGGTTGAAGATGTTGGCTGAGGAGTTCTTGGGAATCACGATCCAGGAAGGAGCGCATTCTAGTGTGGAAGATGCTCGGGCTACGATGGCTTTGTATCGTCGGGAGAAGGATGCGTTTGAGCGGGAGCATCTGAAGAAATGGCCGGCTCGCATGATTGCCGATACCAGGGAGAAGGGCGAGGGCCAGAAAAAGAAGAAGAAGAAGAAGACCACACGCAAGCGCTGATGTGGTTGAATATTCGATATAGCTTTCGAAGAGACATGCTTAGATACTCTGTACATGTATACCCCGATCATTGCCAATTGAATTGTTTTGCATTATCACGAGAATCTAGAAGTTGTATTTTTTTTTTTAAAAAAAAATTCAAATGCATTGAAACAATAATATACTTGTACATAGAGATAGTTAACTAAGTAAATAATTGTAGTCGTCGATCCCCGAATTTCCACTTAACGCGGAGAACGGGAGAACGCGTCGCGCCTCACCTCCAATCTTTTGCAAGAATCAGCGCAACCACCCAGACCGCAGAACCAAGGCGATACCCCTCCAATTACAGACTTCAACGATATATGAAAAGACTGTCAACCAACTAGTCCTAGCAAATATCCTGGATTACACCGTTGCTGCCTCAATAGTCCTCAGACCAGAATATCCGTCCTCTACAGAGAGCAACCGACACAATGCCCGACATGTACGCCATCCAGTCAGCGAGCTCACAATCGGAAAAGAATGACTCGACTCTGCAATGCACACCTAACATCATTCCATGCCGGATTCACCACGACGGGCCAATTGATTCATTGGATCGGTATTGGACAGTGAAAGACGAAAAGGGTATGCAAGACAGATAGCTCTGGCTAGAGAGATCCAGCTGGACCAACATACAAACAAAAATTAACATCGTCTCTTTTATATCCAGATAACACGCAAACGGCGCATTTCCGCGGACGCAAACTTCGAGGCCGGCGCGTCGCCCTTCCTGATGGATATCAAGGTACGAGAGAACACCCAAATCAGCTCCCTAAAAGTATACAACTGCAATTGAATTAATTGGCTGACTCGATTCTATTGGGAATATATAGGTGTAGTCGCAACACCCACAGACCGTGTGTTACCCGCAACTCAACGGGCAGGCAGTGACGGCGCTGAGGATGCAGAGGCCGAGCCCGAAGAACCAGTGAAGATTATGGAGATGCAGTCAACCTTTGATGAATTTGTAGTATGGGGACATGAGGCTCTACCTGCAGCAGATGACACTTTTGTCAAGGGAGTGGAGGAGTGGCTGCGGTTTGCGGACGCGGTATGTTTTCCCCCTCCAATGCTAGTCTGTCTGGGGTATTCTTTTCCCCTTGGTCGTTTCTGATTGTCTATTAGATGCATACAACCCCAACATCAGTGACGAATGGAAAGGAGTCTGCTGCTGTTTGAGGAAGGCTTGTTGGGTTCGGATGGAGTTGATGGAGCTTTTCTGTGGGATCTATGCTGTATATGAATGCATCTAATAGCATGATTTTGTGATATATACTTTTGCTTGAAACTGAGTACTGCAAACTCCTTATAACCTTGATCACATAAGAACTATGCGCTGAAGAAGGCGTGCGAGCAATTGCTTATGGTTCAATGGATACACTTAGGGTTCGGTATATCAGAATATCAAAGCAACTCTACAGTATTATATAGAACATTTCTAACAATGAAATGAAGTATCAAGGCATTGCAACAGAACCATCTCATAGATCTACACCAAAACGATAAGCCTGACCGCCCCACCCGATAAAGCTGGATAAATCGTACAAAAATATCTTGAACTTCCCTACAACCCAGAATTAAGAGCCTCCAAACATGGCCGACTCCCCAGAAACCGAGAAGCTTGCCCCAGAGGCCCTAATCGCCAAATTCCAAGTGAACAAGCTCCTCAAACAAGGTCCGCCTCATCGACCCCTCACCCCGCAACCAAAAGACTAAAAGAAAAACCCCTCCAGACCAAAACGGCCGAAGAATCGTCCTCCTAGGCACAATCGACAACACCCAAGGTATCCTAGTAGCCGAGCGAGCGGCCTTCGCAACCGAATCCCTGGCAATACTCCAAGCCTTCCACGCTGCAATCTCCCGCATCAACAACCTAGGCGACAACGATATCTACCGGTGGTATCTTGCCTCCTCAAGCGGTAACAACAACGACCCAACACCCGCCGAAGCCGCCAACCCCCAGCACGACCTGAAACTCAACCTCATCTGGCCTTGCACCGCCCGGCATATCAAGAAGTACTCGGAGCAGCAGCTGCGCATGGTAACCGAGACGGCGGAGATATACCGCACGCACGTGCGGCCGTATATGCAGGCGAAGCGCGAGGATGGACAACTGGGCTGGGTGTTTAATATTCTGGAAGGTAGGACTGAGCAGGAAGATGTGATCCTGCGGGATGAGGGACACGGGCCTGATGATGGGTTTTTGATGTTGCCTGATTTGAATTGGGATCGGAAGAGTATGGGGTCGTTGCATTTATTGGCTTTGGTGCAGAGGAGGGATATTTGGAGTTTGAGGGATCTTAAGAAGAGTTTTGTGCCTTGGTTGAAGTATTTGAGAGGGAGGGTGCTTGAGGCTACGGTTTCTATGTATCCTGGTTTGGAGGAGGATCAGATTAAGCTTTATGTTCATTGTGAGTTGTTTGGGGGTTGTAGTGTGCTGCATTGTGCTCCGTTGGATATTGAGGGTGTGAGAATGTTTTGCTGACTTTGAATATCACAGACCAACCAACTTACTACCATTTCCATATCCATGTTGTCAATGTTATGCTCGAAGCTGGTGCAACGCAGGCAACGGGTAAGGCTTTTGGATTGGAGAACTTGATCTCGCAGCTTGAGACTTTGTCCGGAGATGGGGATCCTAGTCTGGCTGATGTTGATTTGACATACTTCCTGGGTGAGGCTAGTGAGCTGTGGACGGATATTTTCCAGCCTTTGAAGCAGGGAAAGCAGCCTGGTCAATAGAGGGAAGTTGTTTCGAGACTATCTTAGATTCATATTGACCAAAAGCTCTAATGACTGAATGAATCAAATACAACCCATTCTTCACGACTGCAACGCTATACAGAAAGCATTACATTATACCAACCCTAAAAAGAATGGAACAGTTAATGGTAAGATATTATTAATATATACATTTTTAAATCGTATCTACACGTTGATCAATCATACATGTTCCCGCACAATCATCCGTTCAGCATCATCCCTTTCCGCCGAAGTTTGCGTAACCTCAAACGTGCGATGAATCCCCAACCCCAGATCAGGCAATCGAGGCGAAGGCCGATCAATAGTCAACCTCTCCTCGCTGCTACTCGGGCTCGTGGAATATGTATCCTCACGATCTCTCCGGCTCTGGATAGTCGTGACAGTGACAGCAAGCTTATCTGGTCTCAAGCGAGACTGACCGCTATCATCCAGCGAGCCTAAAGGAAAAGGTCTGTTTTCAGTTCCTCCCAACGGGCGCGAGGCAGACCGTGAACGACCGCCGGGAAAGCCAGCCGAGTAGTATGGGTCTGAGTGAGAACCGGTCCAGATACGGAGGAGTGGTCGGAGGGTTGCGAGACTACCGGCTGTAATGCCGAGGCCTGCTTCGACGTTGGACCAGATGGCAATTTGGAATGTTGCGTCTAGAATGACGGGGGCTTGGTTAGTTTTCTTTCATGTCTTGGTGTATCATGTATCATTCGGATTCGGAGAGGGTAAGGACGTACAGAGGAAGTCGGGGTCATAGAATGTTGCGACAAAGGGGACACGGATGATAACCGCGGATGAAGCACTATGTAATAATCTCTTGTCAGTGATCTGGAAGAATGGAAACTCGAGATGAAAAAAAAAAAAAAAAAAAAAAAAACATACATGCAAGCCATGCTTAAGATTCCCATGACAGCGATCTTGGTCTGACGCTTCATGTGAAGTTTGTGGACGAGGAAGATGGGCAAGATGCCGACGGTGAAATCGCACAATGCGGCAAATGCACTGTAAATGTAGGTCATGATAACGATGATCTTCATATCCATGCATTTTCCTATAATATTAGGATCGTAGGCCAGCTTCGTCCAGAAGTATTCGAGTGGCCTGCACTGAAGGAGCATGAGGAACATGAAAACCAGGCCTGCTATGACGGTCAAAGCCATGACGGTATAGAGAATCCAAATGTGGAGGGGTCGTATAGTGATGCGCATTAAGAAGATGCAGACGGAGATCTTGCATGCAACCGAGGCGAAGCAGTAGGCGATCTCGCAGAGCCACCAGTACCTCATTGCGATGATACGATTTTCGACAGCGAGGTTTTCGAGCTTATACCCTGTACCATAAATCGAGCCTCCGATCATGGTTCCGCAGAACATGGCATAGAATAGCTATGGTAGATTGAGTTTGTTAGATTTCGGATATTAACTCCACAAGAACTGGTTCGGGAAGATCGGGAAGAATTTCAAGATTGAACATACCAATGATATTACCATAGCCCCATCATCCCATCCAAATGCCTTTACGATCCAACCGCGGACATAGATGCGCATCATCACCGTGATGGTGGCGATAGGCAGGAAGACCGCGGCGATGGTCTGAACCGCCGTCTTTCTTTGGTGCTCATCTGTCATTTCGGCAGAGGCTTGTCATACCGAGAAGGATTCATATGTGTGCGGGAAGAGGATTCTTAATAAGAGCGTTCCCCTGTCACGACCCGCAAATTTCTATGTCAAAATACAGGGGTTAAAAACTTAACACTGACGAACTAGAACCTTTTGGCACTGGGCCGGCTAAAAATCGGATTCTTGGTTGACCTAAGGAAATAACGCTAAGCCAACCGTGAGATGATCGACGACACGGCACATAGTTTTTGTACAAATTGGGTTGAATAGGAGCTAGAATTCACTTCCTGTCAGGTCATGCGAATGTATAGGATATTAATTAGCAATATATGATTGCAAGGTGTTTAAAGTACCCTGCATGACATGTGGGAGTGAGACAAGAAAATGGACATTCCGGCATAACCGCATAAGGAATTCCACTAGGGTTTCAGGATTGCCGGTTTGGGAAGTTTTCGGCAGAGGGTTGCGAAAGCTACCATGTCGTTGGGTCTAGGCAGTTGTACAACATAGTTTGATTTGGACTTTGGACTTGACTCATTCCCGTTATTTTTTATTATCTGAACTCCAAAATTGACACGGGAAGCCAGGGTGTCGATCCAGTTAGTTACTAACTATTATACTAGTGGGCACTAGATGTTTTCGGAAAGACTGGCCGCTCTTTCATCTGGTCTTTTAAAGGAGGCAGAGTGGCGATCATGATCAGACCGAGGCTAACGGTGTGCACTAGTGTCTTCCGAGGAGACGACAATGGGCTTTCTTAGGTATCCGCCTATTTAGCGTGCTGCTTTTGTCATAGCCCTGTTGTTGTCCACTCCTACTTGTTCATTCTGCCTAACAGCGGGGACTAGTAGTGTCTCGGCGATAAGAGTTCTCCTTTTTTGGACGTTGGGTGAGCCACACCTCGTGTTATAGCAGGTCAGTGCAGAAGTGTCAAAAGTTAAAGAAGAGGTTGTTGCTATTAATATTATATAATATTATATAATATAGGGTTGGACCACGTGCAAGACTGCAAACATGTTGCAAACATCTCCTGCCTGAACAACCTTATTTTTCAGGTTTCCGACGTCATTTCTACTCCAATTGCGAGCAAAGTACATAATTATTCCTTATGGTCTCTGTTCTATCTCTTTTCTAGTCAAATATAAGAGTATTACAGGAGTATATCCAACCGTCAAAGCTCAATTAAAGTACAATAAATCTCAATTTAAGCTGCAATTTAAAGCAATTAATATCGGCCCCCATAGAAAACGTGGGAACCAAGTACCGGACCCCGCAATCCTTCAATCCTTCACTCATCTCAAACCTCACCTTATCCCAAAGACATACAACATCGCCATAACCTAACCACAACCATACCCATAACCACCAAACATCACACACACAATGGCACACGTCGATGTCCCAGCCACCCCAAAAGGCCTTCGTGCCACTAGGTCCGCCCTCACCTCACTCCCCCATTCCCATCCACGAACCCCAAACTAACCCCTCACCAGAAAACAACCCAGAAGTAATGTCCCACCTAGTCCACCAACTAGGCCTGGCCCCAACCCTAGGCTTCACCGATGTATTCTCGATCGACGAGCCAGATCTCCTAGCCTTCGTCCCACGCCCCTCCCAAGCCCTCCTCCTCGTCTTCCCCGTCTCTCAAACCTACGAAGCCTCCCGCGAAAGCGAAGACGCCCCAAAACCAACATACACAGGGTCTGGGCCCGCCGAGCCCGTAATGTGGTTCAAGCAGACAATCCGGAACGCATGTGGACTGATCGGGCTTCTGCATGCTGTTTCAAACGGCGAGGCCCGGAAACATGTTGTCGCCGGCTCGGATTTGGATACTTTGCTCCGTGAGGCCGAGGGACTGGAGCCCATCCAGCGTGCGGATCTGCTGTATGATAGTAAGGCGCTGGAGAGTGCGCATGCTGATGCGGCGAGGTTGGGGGATACGGCTGCGCCGGCGGCGGAGGATAATGTTGATTTGCATTTTGTGGCTTTTGTGAGGGGGTTGATGGGACGCTTTGGGAGTTGGATGGGAGGAGGAAGGGGCCTTTGGCGAGGGGGGTTCTTGGGGATGGGGAGGATGCGCTTAGTGAGGCTGCCTTGGAGTTGGGGGTTAGGAGATTTTTGAAGATGGAGGCGCAGGGTGGGAATCCGGATTTGAGGTTTAGTTTGGTTAGTTTTGGGCCTTTGTTTGATTAGAGTAGGGTGGATTAGGCATGGGGTTGTTCTTTTCGAGAGTGTTTCTGGATCTGGTATTCGGATAGCTGGTATGTCTTTCTTGAACTATGCCTTGAAGGCAGTGGTATGTTATCAAGTACATTTAATGATATGTTTCTATGTCTAGAATTCCGCCGAAAGAATAGTATAGTTATGATATACCCGAGCTGTGATGTTTCAGATATCGCACACATTTTTGCTCTTCAATCCCAATGCCGACTCTCTTCGCGACTAAAAAAAGGCAACCTAGTAGGCTACCTCTTCTCGTGCTCGGTGATATCAACAGTAGAAGAAACAACAGAAGCGGCATTAGGAGTAACAGCCGTTTTCTCCCCAGCCTCTTCTTCAAGAACCAACTGCTCATTTTGCGGGACAGAGTTGCCCTGTTTATCAAGTGTCAAGAACGGCACAAAAAGCAAAGATACCCCCGTAGCCGCAGCTGCAAACCAATAAACCGACAGATAAGGCCTGATCGCAGGCGAGGAGGCGGTCATACGAAGAGCGACTGAGCTCTGCACAGAAGTAGCAATACCAACGCCCAGGTTGCTACACAACTTTATGACGGTGTTGAAGATGCCGCCAGCGACGGATTGCTGGGATGGCGGGAGGGTGGACATCACATACATCTAGATAAAGTTAGTTAATACTCCCAAAGACAAGGAATGGAAAATGACATAGGGCTGAGCGTACATTTGTGACGTTGAATTGAATATCAGCACCAACAACGACAAGAACTAGCCCTGGGAAAACAAATGCCCAATAGCTAGCTTCCTGATTCATGAAGCTCAGGATAAGGAACGAGGCTGTGTACGCCAGTGCCCCGATGCCGGTTAATATTTTGTTGCTTATGCGGTGCAGGACCAGACCGCAGACAACATTGACCAACACTCCGCTGACAACCATTGGGAGTAGCTGGACAGTAATCTCAAGGGCAGACAGATGTTTCAGGTTTTGAAGGTAGAGGGAAAGGAAGAAGCTGACGGCCGAGAAACCCATGAAGCCAAGGGAGCAAGTTCCAATGAGCTGAACAGTTAGTTTCGATGTATATCTTTGAAAATGGACACACATACAAGAGAGAAGTTACGATCTCGCCAGACCCAAAGAGGCATGAGAGGATTTGTAGCAACGGACTGCCAATACAGAAACACCACGAGCAGGAACAAGCCCACAATAAACAGAGCAAGGACGTATCCCGTTTTCCAGCCATCTGGAGCATCTGCAGCCAGCCTATGTATAGAAAGAGTCAGCGGGTATCCCAAGAAGATATGTCTCATGTATCCAATTCACAAGGGAAAAAAAAGACATACGAAAGCGAACTAGAAAAAAACGCAAACCCAACAACAACCAAACCCATCCCAAGAAGATCAAACTGCTTCAGAGCTTGAACACTCAAAGGCGTTCTATCAAATCCATCAGCCGGCACCGTCCAGACAGTCAAGATGGTAAAGATAGCATAAACTACAGCAAGAGCCCAGAAAGAAGCACGCCAGTTATATAAATGCGCCGCGACACCAGAGACGATCATTCCGCCGACAAAACCGAGCGGATTTCCCGCGCTGAAGCAGGCAAAAGCAAGGTTCTTGCGTTTCGAGGGTTTCTCATAAGTAGCGCCTAGAGCGCCGACCGCAGGTGGGACGACGGCAGCGGCGAATAAACCTAAGACTCCAGAGAAGACATCCATGTATATGGCGTTTGTTGCGAAGCCAGCGATGAGTAAGGAGATAGTAAAACCGCCCATACCGATTATGAAGAGGATCTTGCGTCCGAACATGTCGGCTAGCTTTCCAAAGGTGAGTAGGAAGGCGCCACTTGTGAGGCTGTTTGGGTTGAGTGCATGGTTAGTTGGTGTGTGATGTACTAAACATATACAAGAACCAGAAAGAGACCAAGATCAAGAGAAACTCGAATTGGGTAAAAAGAAAATGTCAGAACGTACGAAGCACCGGCATTGATCCAAGTGATTTCAGCCGAATTCATATGTAAATCCTTGCCAATTGATGCAGTTACTCCCACAATACAGCCTTGGAAGAATGACTGCTGGCCAATGGCCATCGTGGCAGTTAAGACGAACAGAACTTCTTGGAATGTGCTGCTGAAACATTTTGGACGTTCGGAAATCTTGACTGATTCATTTGCACCATTTTCTTGATCTCTCGCCATTTCTGGAAGATCCACGAATTCGTTCGGTAGCTTTAGGGGTTATACACACACCACTTGATCTAAGCGAGAGTGTTTTTTTCCACGTTTTCTGAAAGAAGATATATGCATTGGAATAGAAATTGAAGATGCCATTTTATGATTGAGTATTGCATTCGCTCGAATCAAAAAGATGAGGAACTTTTGTCAGCGCGGAAGACCGCCGCGCTGATCGGGGGAATTTGGCCCCCCTGTACGGACTGTAAGGAGTAAGGAATAGAGATGCGGTGTGCTAGCTCATAACATATCTCTCCTATGTATAAGTTACAAGGACCTGGTGTACAAATATGTAAACATGTAAGCATCACACATCATATAATAATACAACCTGCTCCGAGTATGTATCATGACCTCGTACAATAGACAACCCCCGCTTATTGACAGCATTGGAAGTCTCCCAACGTAACACATCTGACCGACCTAAAAGCCTGAATTGCATAATTATGCATATTCATGTAGGTCTGTATCCCTCTCACCCGCAAGATCGACCCAGCACTCACGAGCGTTGAACCGGAGAACCTCATTACCAGCAGCCCACCAACCAGCCGTCAAATTGCGCGCAAACACCTCGAGAGCAGAATACTCCTGGAGCTGCCCAACATCCGTGAAAAACACATCCTCAAAAATAGATTTCAAGTTCGGTTTTCGAGAATGCAAGTCCGGAACCGCAGCGATGACTCGTCTCGTTGGAATGGCCTCACTCACCTGTGTCAGATCATCCATCTGAGACAGGGGTGGTATATTGTCCGCGTCACCGTTAGCGTTAGCGTTGATATCGGCATTGACATTATGGTCACTCTTGCGGCCAATGACAAGGATCTCATACGGTTTTCGCCAAAGACCGTCCAGTTGTGAAATCGGTTGTCCGTCCCACGTAGTCTTGACCCAGATCCATTCCTCGCAGATAGAAAAGCCCGCTCCGCTCAATGCCCCGTATGCTGCTCGTCGGGACTTTTCTGCGTTCGTGATCCATATCGCGGCTATAGACTGTTCGCTTTGGATCGGGGGTCCGGGTGGGGCTCAGATGGATGTAACCCCGGCTTTGTTTTCGGGTCGTGCGAGTGCACACGGAGTATATCTCGTAACCCTTCAGTAAGCACATCCATCTCGGAATAGTGATGTGTTTGGTAGTGCTTGCTGCGTCGCACGGATTTGTTTGGCCAGGGCGGATCCATGAGGATGAGGTTGAATTTCTGGTGATGGGGAAGTCCGGGGATGGGGTAGTTATTGGATGTAGATGGACGGTCGACTTCGGCTTCAAATAGAGGAAGTGTACAAAGCGCAAAGCTCGACTCCGGGGGAATGATGTATTCAGATGGGGGATTTGTCTCCTCGCCGTGCTCGCTTCCAACCCTGAGTATCGCGGGCTCTGGTGATGGATTCTTGACGATGGCAAGATCTGATAAGGTCTCAAAGTCATTCGGTGAGGTAGTCGATAGAATCATTGGTGGTTCATATTTAGTCGAGACATGGCTATCTGACGCAGACTCTGAGGGCGTACAATCGTTTCCCCTCCGGCGCTTCCGTGGATGCTGATTCGGCGCTGTGCTATCGTGAGGCTCAGATTCACTAGGCACAGCTCGAGCCTCGCACCATCGGCGATCATGGGAAAATCCATCCTTGATAACTTCGAGGGAATCCCTTACGAGTGGCAGTATCAGTTCCGAGTGGAACCGCCTCTCAGAGATAGGAATGGTGTCGAGAAGCCTGGCGAGAGCAGCTGGCTTTTTAGGCTCGGTAGAGGGGAATGGCTCTTTAATAGGTGAGCATGAAAGTAGGTTCAGTGTTTTTCTGCGTATGCTCTTTTCTGTTCCTGAACCGGATTCTGGGGCTGGTTGTTGGTGTGGTGTTGGCCTCCATTGTTGCGCGAGCGCAATTGAATGTGGGATGTCAAGCAGATATATATTTGTATCCTGGAATAGAATCGCAGTCTCCTCTTGAATACTATTGCTCATTTCTGACTTTGTATCTCTCTTGTTGGTGATGGTGAAATGAGTGACGGATTGCACCGGGTAGTTGTAGACATCTGGAGGTTTCAGGCTCTCTCAGCCTCATATAAATTCAAAACATCGGATGGATTTTGATATAAAGTTGATTCTTTTCATTTCGATTGAATTCGACTGATTTACATTCACTACGATATAATCTCTTTTCACATCTGCTTCAATTCACTATGCTCCACTAGGCAGCCAAAACCTCGATCTTAAGACAATAGACAGAAGAGAAAAAAAAAAGTCCTACCGTAAGATCACAAGATACAAGGTCATTCAAAAACGCTGAAGATACAAAACTGGGCCTCCACCCAGACGAGACACAAGACTTTTTCACCAATTCCCCATCCATCCAGTTCCTCTCCCGGGTCCGATTCTCCCCTGCCGGCGATCCAGCGTCCGATCAGGGCGAAGAGATAGGGATAGGACAGTGAACTCACAACACGTAGCTAGATAAACCCGCTTGGTCTCCATGAGAAATTTCAAAAATGAGAAAAAAAAAATAGAAGATACGATGATCAAGAAAATTTGTACATGTAGATGGGAAGGCAGATCGATTAGAAATCATACGCGAAGATGGCATCAACGCTGGGCGCAAAAAGGCATATACGTTAGTATTGCCGCACTACACAGTTTAGGGACGATCCGAAAATGAACTCACCCGTCCACGTCGGCCGCCGCCCGACTGCCCCTGCACAGGCTGGGCCTGGGGGTAGTATTGCGGAGGGTATTGATACATCTGGGCAGGGTTGCCAACGGGGCTGAACTGTTGGTAGTTGTTCTGGGGAAGCATCTGGTTCGGTCCGGTGGACAGCGGGGGGGCCTGCTGCGGTTGCATAGATCGTAGGTTATCCACAGCAGGCGAGCCACCTGGGTAGCCATAGTTGGCGCCTGGCATGCCAGGATAGCCCGTGGAAACGCCACGAGCCTGTGCGGCGAGGAAGGCTTGGTATTGCAACTGTTGTTGGCTCAGAGGTTCCTGGCCGTATCCGCCTGCACCGCCAAGACCGTTCAAGTGGTTTCCGAGTCCGTTGCTGGCGTATGGATCAAGGGGCGGGGGGTTGGACTGGTCGGCAGAGATAGGACGGTTGTCAGGGTTCTGTCCAAACGCGTTGGGAGTAAACTGCCCATTATACTGTCTGTCCATGGCCGGTTGGGCTGGATAACCTGTGCTCCCGTGGCGAGAGGATTGGCGGTGTTGCGATTTCTCCGGGGTGGAGTGCTCACGTCCATGGTGATGCTCCCGACCACTACCTCGTGAGGAGAGGCCGACTTCATCCATCAGACGCTTATAGCCTTGGCTTGGGGAAGCTTTGAGCTTTGTGAGAACCTTAGACACGTTCTTCACGACCTCAGTCCGCATAGACTCGTCAAAGAACGGGGTGGTCAAGACCTTGAAGATCAGAGTCGCACCAGACGTCTGATCGCTCAGGATCTTCTCCAAAACTTCATCCCCGGGACTGAAGAAGAGTGCCTTTAGAACGATGTCGCGAGCATCCGGCTCGTTGCGCTGGTTGATCACCTTGAGAACAGTCAAGTAGGCAACCTTGTGGGTGCAGAGGTGAACAAGGTGAGGCACGAGTCTCGGGGCCAACACTGTTCGGCGGTGAGGGAATGTGCACGTGTCAAGGAACCAAGTCAGCAAAAGAGCTCCATTGGCATTAGTAGCCAACTGCACACTGTGAAGAGCGATAGCAGATGCAAGCATCCGCTGCTGATCCTTGGTGGCATGGTGGCTTTCGAGACAGGCCCGCATCGCTCGGGCACCGAAACGTCCCTGGGCGATTTCCCACATGCGGCCGAGCATAGACTCAAAGATAAAGCTATTGAAGGGGCTGGCAAATCGCAAGCAGCACTGCAAGACATAGTTTCCATACTGATCCAAGAAAAGAGGAACAGTGTAAGGGCGGAGAGCATCAACAATCAACTGCATCTGCCCAGGAGTCTTCGCGACATCAATGATCTTCTGCGCAGCCCAAGTTCCATTCTTGTGAACACCAATTTCGGAGAGATGGGGCGCAATTTGAGACAGCATCTGTTCCTTGGTAGATTCAGAGCAGAATTCAAACAGTTTCTGAACTACAGTGTTGCCCAAGTAGTCGGACGCTAGCTCTGCGACTTCAGGAAGCATGGCCTCGGCAGTCTCCTCAATCTCTTGGATTGAGCATGCGCCATTATCAATGCGCTTCCGGATGTCACGGAGACGAGGAGCGTCGAACATCCGGGACTGGCTCGTTTCCTGAACCGAGGGGATTTCATCCTCGAAAGCCTGGAACGCGATGGAAGTCTGGATGCTTGCCGTGATGTTTTTCAAGTCATCTTCGCTTGCGCCGAATTCTTGCACGATTTGTACCATCTCAGGCAACAGATCAGCCAGAGCAGGAATCTGAGGGATAACGTTAGCGTTGTCCGCTCGATCCGCCCCATCTGCCGTTGCAAGATTTGATCTGAAGTTTTGGTCAGGAGTTGGAGACGACTGAATGCCATTTGCACCAGGAGTACCGGCGGCTGATGCACCGGGAACCTTGGCATAACCAATTCTAACGGGGCCTGCGCCTGGGAAAATCTCCTTGCCATTGAGCAGCGACTTGGCTTGCACGGCGCTGTCAAGGCGATCAAAATTGACAAATCCGCAGTTCTTGTGGGTTAGAACACGAGTCGACTCGATCTTTCCATACATGCCAAAGATGGCCTCTAGTGACGTGACAGTAGTGGAGACGGGAATGCTACCAATCCAAAGTGCCCGGGTAGGCCCATCCTGGTTGTTCTCATCTGCCATTTCGCCGGCCTGTCGGCCCCCCATGGCTTGAATACCGTTACCGCCGAGATGCATCAGTTGAACCGCCTCGGACAATTCGTCATATTCACCATTTTCGGGGATCTGCAGGTCAGCCGCACTGAAGCTGTTGTCGAGGCGGGAAGGTGTGGCGAGGTAGTTGCGGATGGATGATCGCTGGGGAGGTGCCTCCAAAATGCCAGCAGTTCGCGCCCGGGGTCTGCTAACAGAGGCATGGCTGGCGAATGCCTGGACAGCAAGGTTATGCTGGTGAATCTGGGCCTGTGTGGCGGCAAGTTGCGCAGCAGTTGCAGCGGCGGTTGGCGTCATAGCGCCGGAGGGAAGTTGGGTGTAACGGTTCTCATATTCAAGATCCTCGTCATCCGCGTACTTCTCCTTAGCATTGACAGAGTATGATCGGAATCGATTGTTGTTGTTCTTCATCATCGCCAACTCAGCCAGGAGTGGTGGCAGCGCAGAAGCTTGCTGTTGCTGTTGCTGTTGCTGCTGCTGCTGCTGCTGCTGCTGTTGCATCAACGCTTCCATCGAAGGACGTGAAAGAGAGGACATTCCCTGTTGAGGGGTCTCAGCAAGCCCCAAGTAATCCAAGGTCTTCACATCGGTGTCCGCGAGTCCATCCCTCGAGAAAGAAGAGTGGCTGGGTGAAGTCGGCCCTTCCGAAGATCGAATGCTGGTTAAAGTTGTGGCCCTCTCACGACCCGTCGACCAGTTGGTTGAAAACAACGATGGGCCGAAGGGGCCGCCACCTCCCAAGAAGTTACTTCTTTGCGGCATCGAACCAGCTCGAAGGCGAGATAGCGATGCCGGGTTGGGCACACCAGTTGTACCCGTGACCTTGGAACTTGTATCTATGCCGGAAACGCCGGGAGGCCTGAAGGGACTAGTTGAGGGCGTTGGCCGTGAAGTCTGCGGTATGTAAGGCTGCTGAAGATCCATCTCATTCAGTGTGCCCATTGGAGGGAAACGCGATGGAACTGTTCCAGCACGAGCTCGGCGACCAGGGTTGTCCATTGAGCCATTGGTGGTGGGCATCAAATCGGGAAAGCTATCTTGACTCGGCGATTCGGGAATATTCTCGCGAAGCGGGGTTGAATGGCCGCTAGTAGGAGGTCCCCAAATACTAGGAGAAATGCCTTCTTGCGCTTGAATTTCACGAGCTCTGCGAGAAGAGTCAAGATGTCAGCCAATTGTCGCGTTTTGTTTTCATGTCCCACGGGAAGCAAACCTACCGCTTCGAGTATAGACGCGATGCCAAATCATGAGAAGGGGAGCCAGCCCCCGGCCTCGAACTGCCAATGGACCCCGGAGAAGGTCCAAACGGCATTCTTGGGTTCCCAGACCCGGCCAGTTCACTGGGAGAGCTGCGCCCCGTCGAGGTACCTGACATGGGTTGGGTGGTTGGGATGTAATTGAAATTCATCTGACCGTCAGGTCGCGAAACCGGCAACATTATGGATTATCACTTTATGCCTTCTGCGAGGCACTGCCCGAATCTCTTCGAAAGTATGACCTCCGCGCGAATGCCAAAACGGTGTAAAGTCGGAAATTAAAATTTAGCTTGATCGTTCAGAAGGGTGGGACAGAAATCATGAGATAAGGATATAGTGAAATATCGAGGACACTAGAGCAGAACTCGAAATTAGTTGATGTTCGAAATATGTGTTGCTATCGGGGAGGGGGTCGCAAAGTGTGGGTGGGGTCGACAAAGCAATTCCACACAGTTGAGATGGATTATAGGAATATTTCATACCGAGTCCGATGCTTTCCAACACTGTGCAGTGTTGAGGGTCTTTGATGATAATCTCACCGTTTGCTCGGGGTGTATAACAATCTGCGGGCGTCCCCAAAGCAATCGAGTTGAGCTGAAAGAAAAAAAAGAAAAAAGGATAAGTCCTTTTCTATGGTCGTCAAAGGCTCAAAAACACTGCGAATTCACAAGGATGGTCTGGCACACAAAGTGCGTCAAGTGAGAAATAAAAGATGGAAAGGATGATCCGGGTCCAAAGGGATCGAGGTGGCTGGAAGTGAGTTAGTGTTGCGCTTCGCGAGTGTTGTCATTCAACACTAACCGAAAGTTGAATTCACCCTAAGAATGCAGAAAGCCAAAGAAATAAAAAAAAAAGAGAGGTGAAAAAGAAGTCAGAGGGAGGATGAGAAGGGAGATGAAAAGAAGGAGAAGAGATGTTGGGGAGCTGGCCGGATGCCCGAGGAAGATGGCTGTGGTTGGTGGAGGGCCCTCCTTCAGCTTCACCCACAATTCGATTGTTGATTCAGATAAATTTTGGGTTAAAATATGGATGGCTAAATGATTGAATGTAATTGGATTCATTTACGCTATGACTCTTATGGTTGATTTCATTTTCTATTGATTTCATCGCATATTCAAGGTACATAAGTACCGAGACGGGATATCCCAGAAGTACTCCCATAATGTGTCTTGTGCATATTCAAAAACATTCAAACGGGATGAAATATCGGGAATCGACATCCTCCGGGCGTTTGGCAATGACACAGCCCCATCGATGTCATTGATTCAGACAGACTACATTCTGGTTAGACATGGGGAGGTATCAACAATTCTAAAGAGGTATATCCACGGATGTTTTTAGTACAGATACAAGACCTTTATAGCCCCAGCATTCCCTCCAGAAAGTCCAATTCAAGGTTCTGTCGGAAGAAAAGCGTTCATGGCATGACCACCAAAAGAGAGACAAGAGTGGAAACGGAAAAAAAAAGCCCCGCATTCCAGTGCGTCATGCCTCGACGCTTGAATCCTTGACAGGACATGGATGAAGCAGGCTCATCGCGAAATGCAAAGATATCGTCCTGGAATACTCTCCGTATGGGATATGCAATCGGTCATGTAAGGAAAACATTGAATTGACTGAGGGGTTGAAACCATAAAAACCACAATAACACTTATGTTTTTGCCTGCGCGCAAGGGATATGGGTCAGGTACGTGTCCTCGTCCTCGTCCTCTACCAGAGGCGTCAGGCCTAGAGCCCTCTCGGGCTGGTCAATAGTGGCTGTGTTAGGAGATGTAACTAGATCAGACTTGATCTGTCGACTGCTACATATGTTGTAGTTAGCTTGAAGAACTCCAGGGAGCTTTCTGGATCTTCAGGGTGTTCGCCAAGCTTCCAGAAACATTCGGTATGGCGGAAGAACCGGGAGGTTCATGTCACCGTGGTACATAATAAGATGGATTGTCACTTCTAGGATATTAGTTGAAGTAGTATCAATAATGGAGGTAGGACCAAATGAACTATCAGAAAAACCTTCTGTCGTTGGTTCAAGGTCGATGTAAACACGTTAGTCAACACCATTGGTCAGTCCATTTTATGTTCGCCTGAGGCATCAACTTTTATTTCGTGCCACACTCTCTGTTCAAGCCACTCTTCTTGTCAACTTGTAACGGTATCTTTCCATCATTTCAACTCCTCATATTTAAACGTGTGACAGAATCCACTTTCTATATGATATAATTTTCCAAATCTGTGCTGATCTTTGATACGCGATTCAAGCTTAGTTTGTCGCGCGCGCGTCCCCTTCTCGCGTCCGATGCTTAATCGTCCACTTTAAAGGCACCTGCCACCCCAGTAACACCATGGCCGATATTATGGAAGAAGACCCATCGTCTGGGCTTCAATCGTCGGAGGAAGAACATATGCCCGTGGAGTCATTGGTCAAAGGGCGCGCGAAACGAAGTACCGCGGGACTGCACATGTCCGCCCTTCTTGAGGCCGCTGCAGATGATGACTTGGCGCTTCTCTTTGAAGAAGTCGAAGACGATAATGAGTTTGCGGATGTGGTGGACCCCGACGCAGAGGATGAGTTGCTTGAATCGTCGGACGAGGATGAAGACCAAGGGCCGAACGCGCAGAACGACTACGAGGGCGAACAGAAACTACAAAAAGACGAGCGCAAGAAGCGCAGAGCCCAGAATGACCTCCGGTTCCAGACCTTGCGCAAACGAGTCAAGATTGATCCGACCGCCCCATCCGCCATGTCCGCCACTCCTCGACCGAAGAAAAGTCGGAGCGCATCTCGTGGATTCCAACTACGGAGGATGGGCCTACTCGGCAATCATCTCGTCGACAGACCATGGTCAATAAGGAGCTTACGCATGCTCGTCTCAAGGACAGTCAGGAGAAACGAGTCCGCATCATCGCTACAATGAAGGAGGCAGAGAAGCGGAAGGCCCATTTGAAACCGAAAGAGATGACCCAGGAAGATCATCTTGCGGAGGCTGCAAGAGTGGAACGGCTGAATAGCAAAAGTTTGAACCGCTGGGAGCTATCCGAAAAAAGAAAGGCGGATGAAAGACGAGCGAGGATCGAAGCACTACAAAATCGCCGTCTTGATGGTCCGGTGATTTCCTACTGGAGTGGTGTGGCTACATGGACGAACGGGCGTCTCACAAGAGTGGGCAAGATCGACATCAAACCAAAGACAGATAAGGAGGAATCGAGGAAGAAAAAGAAAGAGAAGGAAGATAAGGAGAAGCCTGCGGCAGAGGCAAAGGCCTTGGGGTCTGCAACCATTGTTGGACCCGCCTCTGTCTCTACCACAGGCACATCACAACCGCCACCAGACTTCCATGCAGTTTCTGCTCCCACGGATCCAACAAATCCCGCTCTGCCTCCTCCCACCTCCACATTAGACCAAAAGACGCCCGAACACAAGCCACCCGAAATTGCCGCAGCTCCGACTGCAGAGAATACAGACACCCCCGTGGTGTCTTCCGGAGCGATCGTCAGCCAACCAGATGTAAACTCTTCAGAGACGAAGACAATCACGACACCTCCTGCCGAGCGGAGCAAGGACAATGCTTCGGAAAGCAAAGCTCCAGAGGTTGACGGAAATACACCAGTACCACCCTCTGAGCAAGATCAATCTATTGCCACCGAAAGGCAGTCCTCGGAGTCATCTAAACAATTGGACAGAAAGATGTTTGCTGTGGAAATTCCAGCGTCTCGGCATGGATCACATTCTGCGGGCAATGACACTACTCCAAAATTGCCTGAACCGTCCCCCGCCAAGAACTACGATGATATGGATATTGATCAACCTCCAGCGGCTGCAGCGGCTGCAGATTCTATCAAGATTGATCAAAAGATTCCCGAATCAGCAGGCCAGGCAAGCTTGGCAACTCCACAGGTTGCTGATGCCCAACCGACTTCGATAGTGACACCTACATCACATGCAGCTGGGACGGTTGTACGAGAACCACCAGTGGACGAGTCTCGGCCAGTTGAATCCGCCACTGCTATCAGCCCTGAGATCGCATTGGCCCCTAAAGCCTCGCCGGCCACTGCAGCACCTGGTCAAGCCACGGTACTCGAAAACGCCCCAGCCCAGAGTCTAAACCAGTCCGAAACACAATTATCAAATGGAATGGCGAAGGAACCCGCACAGCCAGGACAACCAGAGATTCCAGAACCCCCTCCAGTGATCGAGCATACGGGGCGCTGTCTTACGATCTTGGAAAACTTTGATTATGCGACCGCCAACCATCGCAAATACAGCATGTACTTCAACGCCAAGAAACCTGCTCGTTTGACCAGTACGTATCATTTCACTTCATTCTTAGGAATCGGTTAAGGCTAACTTCACATAACAGAAATATCGTCATCGCTTTGTGTCATCACCTCGTTGCCTTCGCGTTACCGCGATCCAGACACCGCTCTTCCTTATGCCAATTCATACGCATATGGCCAAATCCGCCGTCTGCTGTCGGAAGGGTATATCTGGAGCTCGATGCTGGGATGCTTTGTCGGTCCGGCCGAGGCTGCCCGCGGAGTGCCCGAGCGTTTTACAGGCAAGCCAGGTCCCGGTACAGTAAAACTGCAGACCGATAAGGCTGAGGGTCAGGCCGAGTCTATTACCAGGAAGAGCATAGACAGAATGGCTCTCAGCAGCGAGGTTCCCTCGACGCCTACCCCGGCTGCGACTCGAGCAGCGCCTCCAGAGCCAATGGAGATTGATAAAGCATGAGTGATTATTTGTACGATATTTAGTAGATACCCAGATAGAATCGAGACCTAATCGCCCAAACGTCAGCATCACTCTACTCCACATTAATGGACTTTGTCTAAGACTCTACCGACTTTTTTTCACGTCAAAGCTTCACTCCTATGATGTATTCTATGTTGACAGATGTCACCGGCCCCACTGTAAAAAAAAAAAATCAATCTCGACTTCGCCCTGTGAGATTTTATACCCCGAACTGGCTCATCCAAGGAACGAATTCGGGACCCGGCGGAAAGCAAACGGGGAAAGAGGAAAAAAGACCACAAACAAACTCCTAATAAGAAGGTTATCTTCTGATGTAAACACCTGGGCAGGTTGAAGAATATCTTCCGGGAATTGTTCTCGAAAGCCCCGGTTTTCTCCATAGACCCGAAACACGGAGGATCGACGATTAGCAGCACTTGAAGGCCTGGAATGATGTCTAGACAGTCCCACATCTCTCTGACGAGGCCCCTGCAGCAGTATCTCGTAATAGGTAGGTGTGTCTGTGTCTGTGTGTGTTTCTGTGTGTGGCACTTAATATACTATCCCCACTGAGATTCTCGATTGTTCGATTTTGGTTGTCGCCGTAGCCGGCAGTTATTCTTAACTATTACGGGGTGCTAACTACATGTATTATCTTTTGACTATACTTTGTACAAATGTAAATAATAATGGGCGATGATGTATTTCATACCCACCAGTTCACGCCATCCGGGTCTCTTTATATGAAATTCTTTTTGAAGTCGTCGAGGCATTTATGGCGTCATTTAGAATGTAGTTTTTCTTCCATGGTATATATGGTATGTACAAAATGTATACAACATATGTCGATTGTGAGGAATGGTGTCAATCTACCGATCCAGATCCGATCCCCTCCGGAGATATGGTCCCTGCGCTACTGCATACATATATATGTATAGTTATACTTGGAAGTGCACATCTGTGCGTTTAGGACTGGGATCAATGCAACATCCCTAATGAAGTGAAGAAGTGGGAGAATTGGCAATGACAGATCAGAAGAAAGAAGAAAAACATGCCACATGTAAACAAAAATCCCCAAAATCCCAAAGAGGCCGACTAATTATAGGTGCTCGTCACAAGTGACTCAGCTGGTCTAGATCGGGGATTGCGTGTCGAGGGGCGAGTACCTTGGGAGTACCCACTAAGTACCCGAGAGGGGACTTATTGTGTTGAGAATATACCTACGAAGACGGTCACGGGTGACTTCCAAGGTACTTATCGGGTACTTAAGTGTCGAATTATGTTTCAAAGAGTCTAGACGTGATCGTCTCATCCTACCGCAACAGCACGTTTCTCTTTTTCTTCTCTTCTATTTAGAGCTGTTTTTTTTCCATTCCACTTTTATATTTTTATATATATTTCTATTCATTCCCCTCTTTTCTTTTTAAATTAATTCCTTCTGTGTCACTCTTCACTTTCTTCAGTCTCAAGTGCAACTTTATAGACTTTCAAGAAACATTTCCCCTTTGGTATGTCACGCCTTATCTCTCTCTATGCACCTTATCTCTCCCCACTCACAGGCTAAAGATAGCCCCCCCCCCGGTCACATCAAATGCTCGTGTGTGTATGTTACCTGGGCAGATGCTAACACCTTATCAGCATCTACTTTTCTTCACCCCACGCTTCTCACTTATACATACTCCGGGATTTCTTCTATTTATTTATTTTTTTCTTTTCAAAAGCATTTGTATTCCCAATTGCACCGACTCGGCACATTCCAGTTTAAATCAATACATTGGACACAAATCCCTCAGTCTGTGCTCCCCCAGGGGTCCTTGTGCTCCACACTGGCTCCAGTCTCGGTGATAGAGTCTTCTTGATAAGATAGTGAGGCATTTGAAAGCCTTCACCGCCACCAATGACTCAAACAGCCCCCTTTCATCGCCGCTCCCCTTCCTCTCCTCATGTCTCCAAGTCCAAGTCTACTCGTCCAGCTTTACATCGACGAGGGACATCCGGTGCCAACGTCTCAATCTCCAAACTGGGCTCGGGACAAAAGGGAGCGAGCAAACCACCGACGTCTACGGACGATATCGAATTTGACATGGCCAGTTTCTTGAACTTTTGGTATGTGATCAACCCAAAGCTCTTATCTTTGAATCCTGCAGGGATCATTTCCCTCACATGCCTGTTGCCGTCATTTGTGTTCCATACACCGGTCTTTTCTTCAATAGACATAAAGCTAACTCAATGACAGTGCCATGTGTGAGAACCAAATTACCGTTCCCAACAACACTTTGTTATATTGTAGCGAAAGGTATGTGACAATCTCCCTCGGCCTATATTTAGAGCCATTGATATCCTCTCCTTTCCTCTCTTTCCTCTCCCAATTCTTTGCTTTGGGACCTGCATCCGGTCATATCTTGGTACTCGAATACTTATCATTTCCTTTCATCTATATAGTTGCCGCCGCAAGGACTCCTGCAAACCACTCTCAGCATCACTCCCATCTATGTCCTCAATGTCTTCCAACACTACACCTCCCACATCTCCCCCTCTCTCTCCGCGCACAATCGTGGCCCCATTGACCCCAACCAGGGTGCCAAGCCACTCCATCCCTACCATGCGGATACCCAGCCACGTGCATGATGCCAAGTCAGATCTCGACCCCACCGAATGGAAGCCCGTATTAACGCGCAACGCCTCATCCCTGGCATCCTCCGACGCATGGAACTATCTCTCCCAGTTCCACCGCGGCACCGGCGAGCCCATGCTCTCCCGACCCACCGTCCATCGCAGCAGCTCCAGCCTTCCCGCCCTGGCTGAAGGTGTGGCTCACAGCCACAGTCACGTGCCCAGCCTGACAAACACCCCGTCCACCGTGGCGTCGTCCTTCAGCAGCACCGCCTCCGACTACCTGGGTAGCATCTACGAGGCTCGCCCGCTGCCCCCTCGTCACAAGCCGTACTTCTCCGGTACGAGCGTGACCAAGGGCGTTGAACTGGTCGTCCCACACATCGCTTCTGCGCCTGAGGATCTCGACCCCATCGGTGTCTCGGACAGTGGCTCTATTTTCCCTGCCAGCAGTGCTGTGTGGGAAGACAGCTCGTATGAGAAACGCTCTGCTCCTATTTGCATGGCGCGGGGTGTTGGCGGCCGGCCCGTCGAAACTTGCGTGAATAACTGAATTGAACAAAGAGAAATGGACTTGTTTGCTTTCTCGTAAAATCAGATGAGCTTATCTTTGCTCTTTTTTCTCTTTGATTCTTTTTCGGTTTATTTCTCGCGCCTTGTCTGTTCTTTTCTTCTTTCCTTTGAATTCTGGGTCTGAGCGAGATGTGGCTCTTCAGCGTCGAAAATGATATATGATCTGATGGATTTTGCTTCCTATTTTTTTATTACCTACTATCTATCCGAGCGAATATAGATTTTCTTAATGCGGACATCTCTGGTATCTAGATCAAATGAACCTTTTGGGATTATTTTCGTCTCTCTCTCTACTGAGATCCAGTGAATTAAGCAATGTTAGTCTAGTTCTTTAATTCAAGCTTATTTATTCGTGAGTACATATACCACCAGATATAAGGTGCTTATCTACTGCGCAGATGTACTATATGCACGTAATGTACTATGTAGTTGGGTTCAGGCTGATAGGTCAGTGGCTGAAATTAGGGCTAGTCAATCCCAGCGCCGGTGAAGCTTTCTACCATAGTCTACACACTCATATCCTACCTCGTCTAATATAACAAAAAGAAATAAATTTCTTCCAAGAAAGGCGGGCAATACTAAAATATCGACCAAGAACCTCACAAAGAAACATAAGTAAGAATCGAAACAATAGAAGAACATCCTGAGCCTTTCGAGACCCATCTCATCTCTCTCAGGAAGAATAAAGACACCAGATAAACTCATATCTCCCAATCCAATATCTAGGTCTAAACTCTAGAAATCAGAAGTGAAGCAACACATATAGCACCCCTTAGCCGGCTTATAGACAGCCAAAGACTAGAAATAAAAGTATTAGTAAACAATATACACATATGTAGGTACCTCTATACCGGCATCTCATACGCAGAAAGAGAAAAGAAAAGAAACGAAGGGAAAAGAAAAACTCACATAAGGTTTCGCACACTTCGCCTCACTCTCCTCCTCGAAACACTTCCCCGCACAGAAAGTATTCCCCTCATCCTTTCCATACTTCGAGTCTGGGAACAGCGGAGGCGGCGCAACCTGCGAACCAGGTTTCATCGGGTTGATCGGTGCAATACCACCCGAAGCACCGGCGAACTTGTCCTCACCCTCTGAGCCGAAGGGGGGTTCATGGGACCGCGGCCAATCGTCTTGGTTGGATCCCGGGTGCTGAGGTTGGTGCCGGGGAGCAGGAGCAGGAGCCTGCTGGACTGGCCGTGTAGCAAGTGGTCTGGAGACAGCCGGGGTTGGGTAATTGTACTGGTACCCGGGTGCCGGGGCTTGATGCGGAGCATCGAATGCCTGAGAAGGGCGCACCACGAATGTACTGTGGGTAGGGGATGGCGCTTGGGCTTGGAGTGGGGTGTGAGGGCTCGGGACGAGGTTTTCATAGTTGTCGTAGTTGTCGTAGTCGGCGTCGTGATTGCCGTAGTTGCCATTGTAGTCGGGGTTGTAGTTCTGGCCGTTGTTCTGGTTCTGGTTCTGGTTCTGGTTCTGGTCGTTGTTTGCGCTGTTGATGTTTTTGAGGTGTTCTAGTTCCTCTTGGCTTGGGCCGTATTGTGCCGAAGCGAGAGAGGCGCTGAGGAGGATGAGGGTAGAAAGATGCATGTTTGAATTGGTCTTTGTGTTTTACTTATTGTTGTTTTTTCGTTTTATGTGTATGGTTGGCGGTTGGTTGTCGATTGTCGGATGCGAAGGTACAATTAACTAACGCGCGGGATCTGGCTAGTTATTAGTACTTCACGCGTACATTGGGAATGGAGGGTTGTTTTTAGGTATTGCGTTGGTAGCATTTTTGGGTGGCTGTGGAATGCGGAATTTGTATACATTGGCATGCACAGCATAACCCTTATATGACACGGTGTATAAATTAGGTAAGGTGAGGTTATAGTCCTAGTCTAGCCAGTAGTTAATTGCTATTCTTGTATTTGATTCCGACCTGGCAAGAGGTATGGCTCATTATAGCTGCATATCAACATTCGCGGAAGTGAATTGATAAAGAGGACAACTGGGTGGATCCCTTGATTAGTATCACTGGGGTTTTTTAAGGCACGCGTGTGTAGATTGACACAATATATATTGGAGATTGTATCCTGGAACATAAAGGCCACATCAATGTAATGATAGATCATTAGAGCCCATCCATGGATGGTACAATGAACTTAACCTAAAATCAATGTCAAATCCCAAAGTCACCTGCCCGGCTCGGGACCTGTCATCTTCACGTAGGGATTTTACGTAAGGATTCCAGGTTTCCAAGGTTCCCCTGGGCAGGTTTCCAACGTTGCAACAGGCTGGATGCTCTAAGAGGCTGACGTGAGGCTCACTCTCTTCCCCTCATCGATGTAGGTAACAATAGGAGATCTACCAGCCCTGTGTATTTCCCCTTGATCGAGCTGTGGACCTGAACAAATTCGTCCAAGGATATCGGAAAATACCATTCAAAGAGACCACATTTGGAAACTACCTATGTTGTAGGTAGACCAACATGACTTAGTCCATGGAACATTTGGTGCCACTGACGCATGGATCCTCATCAAGGATTGACCGCCATATTCTTTGGAGGTACCACTGCACATAGACCAAGGGCAATATCAAAAGCCACATCATTAGTGGTCAGTAGTAAGACCTAGACCATAAAGAAGACCCGTCGCGGCCCGATCACAGGACATTCTCTCGACGCTTCACATCCAGTAGAGCTTCTTAATATACCTACCCTTCCACCTTCGCATATCGGCGGAGCATGCTCCAAACTCCAAACTCCTCGTTAGCTATCAATGTACATTATAGAACGCAAGTCTGACGCTCATTGCGTATTCCAATGTTGGTGTTGGTGGAGCCGCCGGCGCCCCCCCCAATAACCTCGCCAGGAACTATTTTCCTCGTTATGGGTGGATCCAATTGGACGGGGTGAAGGATAGGGCTTTCCCTTCCGAGTTGTCTTTCCATCCCCTCGGGAAAGCAGACTTCATACCTTTCTTCTGGTGACTGCTCGTGTCCCGCCAGAGAGAACTGGCAACTGGAAATTCTCGTGTACACTCGAGATGAGGTTGTACCCGGAAAAACGGCTGACATGGTGGCAGGGATCCTCCAAAATTACTTCCGAGTCATGTCGAAGGGGTCAAGCCTTCGGCTTCGAAGTCGGTAGACCTCGCACCTGCTTTCTCACTCAACTCTCATATCTATCCTACCCATGATACATCACTCATATTGATGAGAAAACAACAACAGGAGGAAACTGCCCCGGTCATGCATCGCGCTGGCCAAATGGGGCAACTGCCTACCTTGGAAGGTTACCGACCGTGTTGTGTAATGACTGACTCGGACAGATCGGATGTCACCCACAAGCTACAGCGGACGATGACAGCTTTGCTTGTTCTTAGGGTGCCTAGAAAACAGGACTCGTTTTTCTTTGCCGGCACAGAGCCACCGTCGATCCATCACGACCTCCATCGGAAGCCCGACAACCCCAAAGCAATCTTCGACTTGACCCGGACGAAACGGCCTCGAATCACCGGTCGATGTTCCCATTATTGCGTATGGCTCAGATTCTCACGGCGTTCTTGTACCCCGTGACGATGAGACCCCGTGCTCAGGTTGACATCCGACCCGAAGACGGTCTTCAAACACGGACTTTCCGCGGCTTGCAAGCTCAACAGACATCATGCCCCTTGACCTGAACCAACATTGAACCACATACAATGCATCGCTGATGCACAAAGATGACCCACGACAACGTCCGCAAAGAATAGTTTGGTGACGGTGCCAATGGGCCTGTACTGCACTACCGGTCACTTACCTTCGTTCCCCTAACCGTTTTCATCCCCGTACCCCTAACCGTCCCCGTTCCCGTTCAGTTCCGCGAAACGCTTCGGTCAAGCCCACATGCCCCATAAAAATCCCGCAAATATCCTGGAGGTAACGGAAAGTGAGATGGTCCACCGGACTCAAGACAAGCTGTATTGCGGGAGTAACGACATGTTTCGTACAATAACCGAGAGCGCTGGTGTAAAGGACTGGTGCCACATCATGCTCGCAGAGAAGGACATAGGAGACAGGGGTTGGGCTGGGTGGAGTTTGGTATATCATACCAGAACCAACGCCGGACTCCGCATCAAATGCTGGTTCCAAGTCAAACCCGCTGGGTTGTGGTATTTAATCCAATACCCAGGCACTGCTAATTGCATATCACCATGGAGTGTTGGTGAATCGGTCCTTCCATCTAGCCGCGTCTATGACCCTCTATCCGGACGGCCATGTCATTATAACCCTTGTTCTGCTTTAAACAGCCAGCAATCGATGTCTAGACGATGTCCCAAGACATTCAAGGCGTGATGCTCGAGTTTTAAAGCCTTCGGAGACCGTGGTACCGGGAACGAAATTCTCGGGATCATGCAATCGATGTCTGGCGAGAAGAGCCAGCCATGCTCTCTTTATAGGTGTGGTTGAATATACGGCAATGTGTACAGTGTGAATATGGAGGATTCGATTGTCGAAAAGACAAGAAGGAGAGGGAACGGGCGCTTGAATGTCCCGAAATTGGAGAAAGGGAATGCGGCGCTAATGAAGGATCCTAAACCGAAAGCCCGGGTTAGTACGCGGTTTCAGTGAAGCTGGGTGCTGTTCAGACAAGATGAGAGGAACTTCACGTCTTCACAATGTATCCTTGGGTGAAAGAAAACGGAACCCAGTCCCAGGGATACCCAATGAACCCCGTTCGGGTTGCGAGTTGACGAGACAACGTTTCTCCAGATTGCCCACAACCAGTATTCACGGCTTCGACTTCGAGGTATAGTGAAAGGTCCACGCTTCTGAACCAGTCATCGAGATGGAGGGTCGAATTTCATCTTTACTAAAGACACTTGCAGTCAGTTTAATCGCAGGTAGTTCGAGTCCACTTGAAGAGTCCAGCCGTCCCAATTGGCCCCCGTGTCCCGGGATCTATCTGGAATAGTGGAACAGAACTGGTGCAGAACTTTATCACTGGCCCCCTCAACAAACAAACTAATTTGAACAAGAAGCCCAAAGTTGCCGTGGATGCAAGAAACGAATGTCTTTTGCCTCTTTGGAATCAAGGATCTATCCGGAGGGAGATATGGGCAATCCCAATACACATGCGCGTACACAAATCCGAATACATGCTCTCCAAATTCGCATCATTTTTCCAGCAAACCACCGGCAAGGACCGAAGCTCAAAGTTCCAAAACCGATGAAAAAATAATAAAAAGACATGAGCTTAGGTTGGGTCAAATATGATGCTTGAATGTTTCTCTATGGAGAAAACTACGATTGACGATTGGCTGGCACTTTTATCCGGCTGATTCGAGATCTTAACAATCCTGAACAACTACAATGCCATTCTTCTTTGATTTTTTTGGGGGGAGATATCTTTTTCTTTTATTCTAACATTGGAAATTATCCCAATGATTGTCAAACCCATACAACCTGGAGAGCCCTAACTGGAAAGGATATTTCCCCGTTTTTTCCCATTTGGGGCTCGGCTTAGCACCTAAGGTAACCCCCCTTCGAGACGGTACATTCAACTGTCCTTTAAAAGGTCCCACCTTTCTCTCTTGGATCTTCTCGAGTTCCATCTTCGAATCCCATCTCCCCAACCTTTCTACGAATTCTATGTATAAGACCATATTCCTCCAAGTCGGGTGACACTTGCCTATAAACACGTATGGCCGACCGCTCTGTGCCCCCCACCCCTCATACCTTTGTCAATACTCATACTTCGCCCTCTTAAACCTTTTCATCCTCTAGAATCGGTCGACTTCTCCCCCAAAATGACTAGTAGTCCGGTTGCTAACTGTTAAGAAGTTGTGATATCCTATAGGTAAACACAGGTCGGATACCAGGAATCCTTCTGGGTCAGCTTCGAGCAACGATAGCCCAAACCATCCCCAAAGCCATAGGAACAGAACCTACCCTTCCCCCTGACAGCACAACCCTGACCCAGTCCCAAACCCCAAGATGTCAGATCACACCACAGCAAACTCCATCAACGGCCAGGAAGGCCAGGGAGATCAGAGAGACCGCAACGAAGCCCGGCAGACAGAGTCGACAAGCGAGAATACAGCAAGGTGAGTAGTTATCTTCCCCCGATCCGCCCCAAATTGCAAAAGAGACCTTCCTTCCATTCTCTCTCTCTCTCTCTCTCTTTTTACCTCTCTTGTCATTCTTCAACGCATCTTCCCCCGTAAACAAAAAAAATCCTCCCCTTCCGACAACCCTTAAATGATCGAAAGCTAAGATCTCGTGACCTCCCCACCTAGCCTGAACAGCGAACACAACAACGACTCACCTGGGCAGAGCCGCCAGCAGGAACTCGACTTGAACTACTACCGGAAGTTCCTGGAAGATTTGGTCGGCATCATGCGTGACGCTCATAGCGATTCTGTCGCTCAACTTGTTTTGCTTATTCGCTCCGGGGCGTCGAACGAAGAAATCCGCAATACCATTCGACGCGTCCAGGATGAGAGCTGAAAGGAGCTGAATGTCACACGCTTTGGTACTCGACTTTTCAATGAGAACTTGTGGCATGGTTTAGTGGCTTTTGGTGATTTGTCTTGTTGATTTCTTGGAGCGTGGCCCTGCGAATTGAACCTTGGAAATAGGGGGAGGTCGACATAATCGTGAACTATTCAGACATGTCGATGTCTTCTAGGCGAACAATCATGAGGGTGCCATTCTTTCTTTTTCTTTGGCCTAGGTCTTTGGAAAAGACATAAGACAAATGAAATCCTGCAAATCGCGTGGTAGTCGATATAGCTCCCCAGGCTTTGTTTTTTTTTGGGCCATCTATTTTCTTTTTCTGGGGTAGTTTGCCCTATGGGATTTGAATATTTGGTGTGTTGTGTTATAGCGCCCTAGTATTGTCCGAGGGTATACTTGAATAGGGTTGTTGAAAAGGAGAAGGAAAAATGACGATATGCCCGACTCAAGAGCAAGAAAAGACTCAAAGAGCAAGAAAAAGAAAAAAGAAAAGGACTTGTACTCAGTGACAATGACAGTGGCGATGCTGAACCAACAGCTGTTCATCTTGTGGATATGGGAACATTGATATGCTTCAGGCGTCCAGGATGTCAAGCTGCAAAATACATACCATACCCCCGGTAACTATCAAAAGGGAAATACGGCCAGTGACAGCAACTTGCCATTAACCCAAACTTGTGTGGGACCCAATGCAAGCCAATCAACCAGACAAAACATCGGAACGGGGATGAGAATTGATGCGAACATCAAGATCGACGTGTCCCGGGGTGTTGTGGACTGTACCGAAATTGAGCATCTGTCTCTACGGGGAGAGTTGCAGTCAAAATGGAAAGAAAACCAGGTGGGGAGAGGATGGGGGGAGGAAGGTAAACCGTCGACGTTGCGCGTGTCTCTATACGATGAACCGCCGTCCAAAAAACAGAAGACAGATGTATATTCTCTGACTCCCTTGGACATTGGAAACGGAAATATATCCTTCTAGAGACCTAGGGAGACCTAGGGCTGCTTCGTTTCTCGAAGGGGCTCGAGGTTGGAATGGGGGGGAACACCCTTGTGGGCTGACGGATTCTACCTCCGTGCCGGTTTCGAGCAAATGGAAGCACAGGAGTGGATCACCCTTGCACCTGCGCTTCTTTTTCTGTAGACACGCTCCTCTTCTCTCTTACGCCACTGCTAGAGATACTCTCTCTCAAGGCTTTGGTCTATTTGAAAAGAAGGTACTAACTTCCCCCATCTCAGAGATCGACTTGGGGTTCATCCTTGCTCTGTCTGCCCCGTCTCTATTCCTGTAGACGGGGCAGAGAGAGACCCAGACTCTCTTCGTCTCTCACTCTTCTCTCCAGGAGACAAGAGCGACAAGAGTTCCAGGTTTCTATCCATTTCCTTCGAATGAAAAGTCCCTACTGACTCATCTCCCTTTGTTGACTGTGCGAGATGATGAGAAGAGGTGGTGGAGGTGGACTTAGGGAGAGGGTTTCCCGCGACCAGAGACGACTACAGAAAGAAGGACGACACCACGCCGATTCCATCCCCCGTGACATGACCATCACCAGACTTCGTCGAACTCGAACTCGAACTCGATTCCAATCTTTTTCTATACACAAATGACAATCCCATTCCCCGTCCTCGTAATCCCCGTTCCCTACTGATCACAACCCTGATTCGCAGCAGGCTAGCATCACCAGCATCACCAGCGTCACCAGACCAAACAACGGAATTCCATAAATGGGCCTAGTTGTTGTAGCTGGAAAACGAATGCAAAATGCTAAATCCAACGCCAGCGTCAATCTAACACTAGAACCCAACGCCAAATTCACCTTCGCCTTCACCTTCTCGTCCTTCACGAGTCAGCAGGCAATGGAGAGACAAAACGCACGACAGATCGTATCACGCCGCACGTGAACAGTCGTGTTGTGAATCTAGCCAGACTTTTATGCAGACGGGACTCGGTTTGACGCTGTGTGCACATGCATATTCCCGTTTTGGTTGGTTTTGGAATCCCAGGTGCCAGGGTCTTGGGCTGGGTTTTAACGGCAACGCAACGCAACGGCAACGGATTTGGGATTTGAGAGCTGGCATTATTGGGTTTGGAAACTATATTCTGAGAGATCCTATAAGTGGAAGACTGCTCATTGATGGACTATGCATATGTCAGAGGAGAGAATCGAAGACACTCGGGACTTGGTGTGGTATGGGGGCTGTAGTGTGTCAGTGTGTCAGTGTAGCGGATATCGGTTCAAAGAATCTTGCAGGGGGTATGGCAGGCCGAAGTCGATATCTGTCTTTTCAAGACAAGCCAAATCTACGTGAATAGAATACTGCGTAGCCAGGCTGGGTACGTAACGTAGAAAATAGTAACAGGATCGTTTTAATTGAGTTGAAGGAAATCTCATTCTTCATCCATTGTAGCACCCATGCCACATTCCCGTACCTATCGTGATCATGCTTACATATAACTTTTTGTTTTGGACATATCTAAGGAGTGCAACGGCCAGTGTACCGGGGGTACAGTGAGCAGTCACGGACGGTATAACGAGCGCACAGCCAGGCCAAGAAACGCTCGAGACCGAGACCGTAGCCACCGTGAGGGGAGGTACCATACCTATTGTTCCGATGTTAGTATGGATGAAAGATATAAAAGAAAAAAACAGATGCGAGATATCAAAACTTACTTGCGCTGGTCAGTGTACCAGTAGTAGGGCGAAGGGTCCATGCCCTCGTGCTTGTAGGCGGCCATCAGCTCATCCCAGTTGTCCATTCTCATACTACCTCCAACAATCTCGCCAACACCGGGCATGAGCACGTCGACACTCTCAGTGACACGGCGGTCCTCGGGAGCCTTCTTCATGTAGAAAGCCTTGATATTGGCGGGGAAGTGAGTCAGGAAGATGGGCTGGTTGATGATGTCAGTCATGCGACGCTCAGCAGCCTCGGCAATATCATCACCGAACTGGTGGGGCTGGCCCTCCTCGTTGGGGATTTCGTGCTCAATCAACCACTGGATAGCATCGTCGTACTTCATGCGACGGAAGGGGCGGGACGGGGGCTTGAAGTCCGGGTTGAGCTGCTTGATATATCCAGCGATCTCGGGCTCAGCCAGGGTGTTGTCAATCACGCGGCAGATGACATCCTCGAGGTGGTCGAGCAGATCAGTGAAAGTGATGAAGTCCAACTCGGCTTCGATGTGTGTGTATTCAGACAAGTGGCGACGGGTCAGGGACTTCTCGGCACGGAAAGATGGGCACACACAGTACACATCACCCAGGGAGGGGAGACATGTCTCGAGATACAACTGCGAGGACTGGGTCAGGTAGGCGTTCTCGCCGTAGTAGTCGAATCCGAACAGAGTGCTGCCACCCTCGACCTGGGTCTGCACCATGGCGGGAGGGGTCACTTCCAACATGCGGGTCTCTTCGAACGCCTTGCGGAAAGCACGCAGAGTAGCGGCGCGCACCTTCATGACGGAGGAGGAGGTCTCACCGCGCAGAACCAAGTGGCGGTTGTCGTAGAGAGTCTGCGGGTCGGCGTCCGGCGCCACACGCGTGGTAATAGCCTCCTTGTCACCAGCGGCCTTGCCGATGATCTCGAAGAAGTCGGCGTGCAGCTCGCGGTCGTTGGGTGCGTGCTGCTTAGGGGGGTACGGCGCGCATCTCACCGTGGATGGACATGGAGGTTTCGAGGGTGAGGGTCATGATATCGTAGGTCTTGACCATGTCGCCGGTCAGGACACACTGCAAGTACCCGTAGCCGTCGGTGAGAGTGATGAAAACTACATCCTTCTGGGCGCGGGCGCGGTGAACTCGGCCCAGAACGCGGACTCGGGTGCCAGCCTCCTCGGACTCGGGGGTGCGCAGCTTAATGGTGGCCGGGTCAGTCACGTCCAGACGAACGCGCACGGGCTTGGGCAACGAGGTGTCCTCCTTGATCACGATCTTCTTGGCTTCCTCAAGGACCTTCTGGCGCTTGTCGGCCTCGGCCTTCTCGCGGATGACCAGTTCCTGTTCCTTGGCGGCCTTCTTCTTGCGCTGCTCCCACAGGTTGTTGGCCTTCTTCATTGCCGACTTGGTGGCGGGCTTCCACTCCAATTTGGCTGCGGGATCAACATCCTCACCGGCGGCGTCGGTTTGGGACTTGCGTGTGAGGTACTGAATGCCCTCGGTGGTGGGGGGGTGCTCCACGTAGGCGTGGACGAGGGTCTTGTAGGGGGCGGTCTCGGTGCCGGTGGCGGGGGACTCGTCTCTACCGACGTCTTCGTCGATGTAGATGTTGGTGGACGCCATGGTGTTTGGTCTAGTCCTTGTAGACCGAGGCTTTAATCGAGTTGCGGAAGAGTTCTGTGGGAGAGATAATTAATTTAGGGTCTAATCTGTGAGTCATACACTTTAAGGCTAAAAGAATTCAGGTAGGACAGATTAGAATGTGACAAACAGCAGATCTCACCTGATAACGCAGAGAATGGAACTCTTATCTCTTCCCAATTGCAAGTTGTCCAAGGAAGGAATCGCACATTGAGGTAGAGGGGTAAATTTCCGATAGATGCGGGACTCTCCATAGATGCCTGAGGCATCAATCGGACTGTATATCTCGGATACCGTTCGGAGTATATTTTTTGGGGGTTATGATCCAACACTGACTACTGACTAGTTATCACAAGTATCAGATATCACACATGGGGTCCAATCTGTTGAATCTATTCATCTATATAAATCTTTATATTTTGTTCTCACCCACAATATGTATATAACTATGTGCCTATAGTACGGAGTATATCAAGGGATATACCATTTGAAGACTTGAAGCAGATCAACATTTTAAACTCATCCACGAGTTGAGTCAGAACCTTAGGCAGATTTCCCCTTTCTAGTTCGTGCTAATAACAGATCTGACATGGGATATTGCAGTTCCAAGGTACTACCTAGGTCATTGGATAGATGTATGAAGGATGTCACGGGACATGGACACCTAGGATGTCTCCGGAGAGACTACGGAGATTAAAAGAAGAGTATTTAAAAGACGTCCCCTAGGTAGTACTACCTCATCCTCCATGCAATTTCTATTAGTCTCATGGACATGTCAGGGGTAGGAGATTGAGTCCTGATCCAGTTCTGCAGGAGCCACGGGAACTCGAAGTTTGGGGAACACCAGAGTTTCTTTTATATTTACTCTTATTTATATATATATATATATTCTTATATATATATATATAGGTATGTATGTATATATTCAATATACAATATAAAATATACAATCCATTACTCCATACAACATAGAGGACAACTGCATATATCCAATATCAACATACTGAAGTTAGTTCCGCCCCTTAACCCACTCTCCTATTATCTCTCCCCCCTTTTAATGTTATTTTTTTTCCCTTTCCATACCTTACCTGGATTCACTTCCTTGCCTTTCATTCCTTTTCTCTACGCTCTTTTTTAACCCTTTTTATTTTTGTTTCTTCTGTCTCTTCTGTTTCTTCTGTTTATTTTTTTTAAAGGATTATTTTCTAATTTTTTTCTTGGTTAAAAAAAAAAAGTCCAAGCCTGACAACTGTAAACTCTTCCCCCAATCTCCCCCAGTCTCTTACCCCTTTTTTTTTTCTTCAGGTGTTTTTTTTCCCTTTTGGATTTCCTAACCTCTTTAAGCTAATAATTTTTTGTTTGTAGTCTTGGACTTGAATTCTTCTTATCTCTCTCTCCTCTCTCAGGAAGCTGAATATGCTTGTTCTGCATGGGGGATTGACATATATATAAGTGGCATTCTCTAAGAGAAGAGAAAGAAAAAGGACAGGTTTGTCTTCTATCCCCCATTCCCCAATTTCACCCTGATTAAATGGAACATTCCAATTAACTTTTAAAACTTCATTTAGACACGTCTCCATTTGAAGAGCTTAGTCTTTTTTTTCTTTTCTTTTTTGTTTGATAATATTCCTTCTTCTCCACCCGACTCCTCCCTATTTTTCCCTCTTGGCTGTGGAGTCATCTCCTGAATGGTGATCTGATACTCCTCCCTTTGTTTTTATTTTTTATTTTTTTTTATTTCTCTTTCTCTTCCTCAGAGCCTCTCAGTCTGGTAGTCAGGGCCTCTTATCCCCGACTAAGGCTAGGTTCTTGTCTTTGGACAAGCGTTGGATTTGTTTCGCCATGCAAGCCTCGGATGTATCGAGCATCCCGAATAACTCGCGTCTAATTCCTCCCGGGTCTAAATACGCGCTGAACGGTGACACTGGCTTTTCCCACGGAGCTTATAACAATAACCACCCCAACCCTATCCAAGGATTCTCGGATCGGAACGCTCGTCGCGCCAATATCCCCGCCATAAACACAGCCGCCGGCCAACACTCAGATATGGCATCCGGTTTCGATATGAACTATACCCCCCTTCTCCCCTCCCAGCTGCTAGTAGGCAGTCCTTTCCAACCAGGAACTCCCTCGGCTTTTGCTTCACCTCAGTTTGCCAATTTTGGTGGCTTCCCGCAGGCCAATGGCAATGGACACGCCCAAAACAACCAGAACCATATGCACAGCCCAACGCAAGGAATGCAGAACCACGGTATGTATGGAATGATGTCACCTGATGGCATGGGTGCCTCTCAAATGATGGGACCTCAATCGCCAATCAATGGTCTTGGAGGTATGGGCAATGCAGCTCTGGGTAGCCCCCAAGCTTCCGTGGCCCCGGGTATGCTGTCAGGGACCAGTCGTACCGTGTATCTTGGAAACATCCCGGCTGAAACATCTGCCGAGGAGATTTTAAATCACGTGCGTAGTGGTCAAATTGAGTCGGTACGCTTGCTTCCTGATAAAAACTGTGCCTTTATCTCCTTTTTGGATAGCAGCTCCGCTACTCATTTCCATTCAGATGCCATCTTGAAGAAGTTGGCCATCAAGGGAAATGACATCAAGGTCGGCTGGGGTAAGCCTTCACAGGTCCCCACCTCAGTCGCCCTGGCTGTGCAACAGTCGGGAGCGTCGCGTAATGTTTACCTTGGAAACCTGCCCGAGGAAACATCCGAGGATGATATGCGAGAGGATCTGGGCAAATTTGGGCCCATTGATACCGTGAAGATCGTTAAGGAGAAGGCGATTGGATTCGTCCATTTCCTGTCGATTAGTAATGCCATGAAGGCCGTTACCCAGCTCCCCCAGGAGCAGCAATGGCAAGCGCCAAAGCGGGTGTTCTACGGCAAGGACCGCTGTGCGTATGTGTCCAAGACTCAGCAACAAAATGCTGCGCAGTTCCTTGGAATTGCACCCGGATATGCGCACGTTCTGAATACCGCGGATCGTGATCTGATTTCTAATGCGCTTGCGCAGCAGTCTGTTGCTGCGGCCGCCGTTGCAACCACGGCGGGCGGTGTCAACAATCTCGGCAACCGCACCATCTACCTTGGAAATATTCACCCCGAAACTACTATCGAAGAGATTTGCAATGTCGTCCGCGGAGGCTTGCTACACCATGTTCGATATATCCCAGATAAGCACATTTGCTTCGTTACATTCATCGATCCCACCTCGGCCGCCTCCTTCTACGCCTTAAGCAATCTGCAGGGGCTGATGATCCACAACCGACGCCTGAAGATTGGATGGGGCAAACACTCTGGCCCTCTCCCACCCGCCATTGCGTTAGCCGTCAGCGGCGGCGCATCACGAAATGTCTATATTGGTAACTTGGACGAGGCCTGGACGGAGGAACGCCTTCGCCAGGACTTCTCGGAGTACGGTGAGATCGAGTTGGTGAACACACTGCGCGAGAAGAGCTGCGCCTTCGTTAACTTCACAAACATCGCCAATGCCATCAAGGCTATTGAGGGAATGCGCAATCGGGAGGACTACCGGCGATTCAAGATCAACTTCGGCAAGGACCGCTGCGGAAACCCACCGCGTCAAGCCGGAAACACCCAGAACGGACAGCAGAACCGCAACGGAACCGGCATGGAAGGCCAGTCACCACCATCCGTTCTCAACGGATTCCAGCAGAACCTCAGCCAGTCTGGCTCCCAGTCCAGCCCGACTCGCTCTGCCCTTTCCCCAGCATCGGGATCCACCGGCTCCCAAAATGGACAGCACCGCCACCCGCTGCAGAATGTGACCTCTCCCTCCGGAGCTCTGAATGTCGGCTCGAGCAATCCGCTGACCATGTACCTGAACCAGATGTCTGCTCATCAGACACAGGAGGATCATGAGAACCACCTCAATGACTCTATGGCCCTCTCTAGCTTACAGTCCCAGTCACAGCAGTCGCTGTACAACAGCGTCAGCAACGGCGACATGTCAAATGGACACATGGACCCGCCTATGCACCAACACAAGTCCACCAACAGCTACCTGAGCGTGGCAAATGGACCAGGACACGGTCACCACGCAAGCACCAGCAGCCTTAGCGTGCCCCGTGCTTCGCACTCGCGGGCTGTCAGCTTGCCCTCATTCTCCCAGGAGCCCTTCGGACCTGTCTCGGGCCAACACGGCCACACTCGCGCAGGTGCGGCCCACCAGCCTCAGAGCAGCTTCTCCAGCTTCTCTGCCCTCGGTGGACTCAACCACTCAGGATTTGGCCTGGCCATTCAAAACGAAAACTCTCTGCCCGGCTGGGCTGAAGAGGAGATCGGAGCCAAATAATTATCTGCGCATCCTCCAAAGGATTCAACCTTTGACTCATTGTCCTCGGTGAACCTAATGCCACATTATTCTCTCTTCTTACATATAGTCCCTTCTTGATTGTCATGTCTTTCCTCCCCCATTTTGATTTTGATTCGTTTCATGTATTGGTCATAATATCTTTTTCACTTTGGACTCTTTGCCATTCACTTTCAACCCTTGTCTTTTCTTTACTTTTTTGGCTTTTTTTTGATTTTCCCCCTTCGTCCGGACATATTCCGTTCGCAATGATTTTATATTCCCCTATTAATCTTTTTTCACGCCATCTTCCCCTCTTTTATCACCTTGTATTGCTAGCTGGCCTTGAGTCTCTTCCTTCTTTCATCTTTGACTATTTTTTTCTATCTCTTTATTTTGATTGGGGGCTGTGAGTACGCCGCATGTTTCACTGGATGATGACCATGGAGAGGGACGAGCGTGGCGGCGATTACCACGTTGTATAGCGACCACTTTCGATTTTGGTCCTATTGGCTTTTATTGCTAGCAGAAAAATGGCCATCTACCCACCACACTTGAAGCATTAGTTAGAAATGTAAATGATCATCTATTTATAATAGAAACTAGCCATATTTACACATGAAACGATTCACCGAGTCTCATTTCTTGGACTATTGTATTGTCCTATTGAATTCATATGAAATTTAGATACGGCCGGTCTCATTTTTATTTGTTTTCCCTCGTTGTCCTCTCGCGCAGATATCTGTCGTTGACATCTACAATATCCCGATCACGTGATTGATAACCAAATCGGGCAAAGATCGGACACTTCAAATTGGATGCTTCAAACCGCCTCATCCATTCGTCTCTCCTCCACAACCCCAAGCAAGACATCGCAAAATCTGCGTCATCTTTGCATCATGGCGCTTCCCCCAGAGCAAATCAATATCAAGCGTCGACGCGAGGAAGAGCCCGTTGAGACCCTATGTACGAGAACAATCCCCTTGTTTTTTGCCCCGCAATATATACCCCTTTAAAGAGAGACAAAATACCATGGAAGTGGTTGTCCCTCGAGATGAGACTTCGACCGACACCTTGACAACAGACACTGACTTACTCTGCAGTCATTCAATCCGCACTCCACCAAACCAAGCGGCGCTTCACAGACTTTGTCTTCCACAGAGTCACTCTGAAAGCCAGCGAGAGCGGGAGTGGAGATGCATCCCCAAGTCCACCAACAACGCCAGCTGTGCAGCGGATCCTGCGGAGCCCGCGCTCAGTAAGCAGTCTCCATGTAAACCGGCGCGCGCCAGCATCCTCGATGGGCGTGCCCATGGTGCGGGCCACCTCACCAGGAGCAGAGTTCCGCGAAGCGCAGCGCGTTGCAAACGTACGAAAAGAAGCAGAAGAAAAGCACCGACGTGCCGTTTACGGAGGCCCTTCTCCTTTCACTGACCTACAGCCCAGCTCTGATGTCTCCCACCAACCCGTGGTGCGTGACAGCAGCCCGGCATCAGTGGAGACATCCTCCAGCCGCGCGCAGGCTCTGCGTCGCTTCCAGATCTCCCGCTCAAATCTCGACTCACTAAAAAGTTCCCCTAGTGGAATCCAGAAGCGACGCGCTGGTGGTCCCGCTCCAGGCGTGGCTGTGCTCGTCGAGCAGCTGCAGCGGAATGCGCACTCGCGCAAGGCATCCATGGTCTCGGATCTGGTTGCGGAAGCACAGACTCTCTCGTTGAAGCCTAAGGAATTTGTTCAGGACATCGACGCCAGACCCCCATCACCAGTTAAGCCACGCAAACGGCCTGTCGTTAACCAGGCCGAGAGACGGTGGCGCGAGGAGCGCAAAGGTGCCATCTCAGCTGCGAAGCAGCATCTGTCAGATACCCTGGAAAAATCTGCTCAGACACAGCAGAGAAGCTGGGATCAGGAGTCTGAACGTCTGGCCCATGATTTGGAGCAGGTCGCGCTGGAGCTCGAGGACGAGGCTCACCAAGGCCATGGCATGGACATCGACGTCCCTGGGAAACCGGCCCCTTCCCCGCCTACATCTTTACAGCATGCTCTCAGCGCATCTCCTAAGCCACCGTTGAAACATCAGCCCCGGCAGCCCAAGGGACCGAGAGTCGCGCCTACACCACCGCAGCCCGCGGAGCAAATTGAACAAGCTGTAGAGGAGGAGGACGAAGGCGACTATGTCTACGATGTTTACGTCCGCCGTCCGCTATCGGAAGCTGAGATGCTGAAGAATCCACTCGCCGAATACGAGGCCGACCAGCAGCAAAAGGATGTCGCCAAGGCTCAGCCTGGAGTCGGTGTTATTGTCATTACTGCCGAGGACGAGGAGTACTGGGACGATTTTGTCGAAGATGACGAGGAGGAGTGGGATAGTGAGGATGCGGACTCTAATGGTATGTGATGCTTTCCCTTTTTTGGCCCCTCTTTACCCTTTTTGCTTGCCTTCTACATTTCCGACCCATAGGCTTCCCGCTAACACTCTTCGACTACAGCTGAAAACCACCCCGCCAACGATTACCCAGATGAAGAAGCGTCGTCTGATGAAGATGAAGACTTTGACTTTGACGATTCAGCGAGCGAGGATGGTGGGACTGGGTACATGTCTCGCTACCGTGGGCACGTAGACTCGGATGAAGACTACTGATTCCTGATTTGGTTGTTTATGGCTAGCATCAAACTAGTCGGTTATGCGACACCGCTCTTTTCCCACCTCTATCTTTGTTCTTGCTTTAGCAGAGCTCTGTTGATCAAGCGTTTGCTTTGATTTTACCTCGGATACCTCAAGTTCATATTTCCATCAAATAAACCAAGCTTCGTTTGTAATTTCTTACCTGCTGCAGCTACTAAGAGTCAAGACTTGATTAGTTACCTAAAATGATGCATTGGGAGCACCAGCTAGAGAGGAGGAAAAGGTGGCTGGGACTAATATTGAAACATCTAGTTAGCTCAAGGTATCTACATTGTCCCGTATACTGTCGACTGAAAGAGGAAACTGGTATATCAAGTAGGGGCAAACGAGCGCTGCATAGATGTGTTTAACGGTATATGATCCCCAGCTTAGATATGCCGTATACCTGTCCTCTATACGGAGTACCTCTTAAACCATTAACCTACCATACCCAACGGACCGAACAATATCCCCGAAACAAAGAACCAAGATAAAGAAACCCCTCCCCCTTACCGCCGGTCCTGCATTGAAGTTAAAACATGAAACGAAGCCACCACAATCTATACTACTATCCTATACAAAGTACCACCGTTCTATCCAGTATCCCCAACCGCGTAGGGGTCCATACATACAATATAGGCCTTGGCAACCAGTAGCACCTAAATCCCCATCCAACAGCGTTAAAAAAAAACCAACCCTAATTGAAATCATGTCTCCCCACACAACCACCTCCATTTACCAATTCCATACCTATCCCCGAACACCACCATTCCACCGGAATCCCGCCCCCTCCCACCACAACTACAACTACAAAAGTATATCCACAAGTACAAGTACTCCGTAAATGCCCCTTGTTCAAGGGGATATCGTCGGAAGAACTCCGTGCATGGAAAGGAATCAGGCAATCGAAGTTAAAACCGCTCGAAGGGGGTGTGTGGGCCAACGTTCAATTCTCCGATCTACCCCGTGCGAACCAACCAGGGAGCACGGGGTTTGTTGGGGAAGTGGCGATGTGGCTTCTCGCTTATTTCATACCAAGATAGGAAGGAGTTAGTTATCGTGCCACGTGGGTTAGGTTTTTTTTTTTGGTGCGATGCAGCCATCCTAAGATGTGATGAGATTTAGGGATGGGCCGGGCGCTGGCGTATTGCGGGGTAGATATGCAGATGAAGTCATTTCGAGGGTGTGCTGGGCGGGTAGAAGTGTTGGGTGTTGGAGTTGGTTTGAGAGTTGGTTATTTTGCTTTGATGATTGTGTTGATGATGATGATGATGATTATGATGTTTTTTGGGTCAGGTGTTCAGATATACATGTCGGTGTGTCGATCTTGTATCTAGTACTTGATGGTTATAGAGTTCATTGGCTAAGGAATATATATATTTACTATTGTTCATTTCTCTAGTTGGTTGGTTCATGACGATTTTATGGTGATCATCTATATTAACTATAGTCATTGTTATATATCCTTGTATACATCCATGTAGTGTACATCTTGCTACGAGTACAGACCGGAGTTTGGTGTTGCTAAAAGCCGAGATATCCTTCGCCGTACGAATCAGTCTACCTGCATACCCCGAAACAGTGAACTCTGCATGCTGCAGGAGATCTATCCTATAGGGGTCACTAGTGTAGCGCTATAAGTTGTTGGGTGCAGTAACCTAGTAACTAGTAGATAACCAACCCAACAAACAGCGAACATCTTTCTATTTGACGTGAAATAGAATTCAATAACTACTTTATAGTTACACTTTCACGCGCACGCGCGTTCCAACGGCGCTTGAGAAATGTATAATAGCCTTTCAGGCAAGGCTGCATATCAGTCTACATGCGGACACTCAAAACATTTAAGACAAGGCTACCAAACCCCCCACACCTGCAGAAATAGCCCCATGCCTACCGGGCAACGCGGCCTAACACATGCAAAGTGTCGAAGATCATAAAATAGAAGATAAAATTCGACACCAAATCGGGAGGATCCCGGTGCACGATGTCAGATGTCTCGTAATCTTCACACGCTTGTACCTTTTATATTTAGAAGATAGGAAGATCAACTAAAGAATAACTCACTTCTCCGTGTTCTCCGGTTTCAATAAACCCACATATTATTCACGTTTCGGCTACCCCGAAGTATTTCCATGGGTGGAAACAAAACTATATTATAGCTCGGTCTGGTTCCATGGTTCACTTTCATATCCTGCACTCTAATGTCTCAATTCTGGTTGGGCGGATAGACCAGGCGAGAATTCTCTGTGAAGAGGTGAGGCTCTGCAAAAGGAAATAAAAAAATAAAATAAAATAAAAAACCTGTCACGCTAAAGGTAATTTATTAATCCACAAAAAGAAAAAAGAATATTACATGTACGGCCATTACATAGTACATCCCACAAAGTAAAATACAAGCACGGGTCATTTTACCCCAAATACTTCAGCCCCTTCGTTGATTCACTTGGGATATATACTTCCTGTACTCCGTCTGCATGTCTCCAAACATGTAAACAACCGTGCAACGTTCCCATTGCCAAAAGACGTCACTCCCGAAGAGAATCCGCTTTATTTAAACATGTGCGGCTGTGCCCTTCTCGCTATGGTCCAATAGGAACATTAACTATCAAAGGAAGGCTGTTGCCAAACTTAGTCAAGATGTGCAAGTTGTCGTCAGGTTCATATGCTCGGGGAATCTTGAGGTATCCGCTATTAGTTGGGCTTGAATCTCCTGCAGCAGTCGGAGGAACATCGGAGAGGAGAATTTGTCCCATTGACTAGGATACACTTAGTATCCATGTGATATCACAGTGAAGACTCATAACTAAGGAGTACTGAATTACCTGAAGATCAATGCCAAGTCTGCTATACGATAACTAGTGGCCGATTATACTTTGGCAGGTGCTAATAATACTATTTGAAGGGTAAACCGACCTGCGAAAGTGGGTAGATCCCGTGTAGCCTGGTACTTCGCACTCCGTACGAAATATATTGTTGATGATTATACTTATTATTACTCATTCTGAATTTGACCCTGAGCTCGGACAAATATCATAAACCATGAAGAAAAAGGCTATCTAACGACCTGCTAAACTAGGTATAGTTCCTTGATGCAATCAGTGTCTGAGGTCTCCTTCGAAAACAAATCAACAAATACGACCTCAACCTCAAAAGCCGACACGAAATCCAACACACCGAAGACCATAGTGTGACCCCTCCCCACCCCCCTCCTTTCGAACCACTCACCACTCACCACTTAGACGAATCCCAAAGCGACACATTCCGAAGACCAATATCCGACACCCGACAGACTCGCGAATTCAGTCCATCAGCTGAAACATCGAAGTGCAGAAATAGTTCACGCCAGAAGGCCCGATCCCGGAGCTAATGACCCGGGTCTCTGGCTTCGGTGTGATGATGGCAGCATTAGTGCCTTGCCTTGTCGTCCATGCCCGGGGGCTGATTGGTGTGGCTGGTGCAAGAAGTACCACGCACGTGCAGGCATTGACTTGATCGGTGTACTCACCGATAGTTTATGAAGGACGCCGTGCATTTGACTGTTTACTGTTTTAGGGAAATCGTGGGTGGTCCAAAGGGGGTGTGTACAATGTCCGAATGTCAACGCGCGTGCATTCAACCCATGATCGCCGCGGTCGCCCATGATCATAAGTCGTGGAAGGTGATGCTATTCTTGTTGGTAGTCTTGTTTATTCTGACGAATGGGAGGTGATTCTAACTGTTGGTTTCTTGGACTTTTTTCTCTCTTTTCTTTTTTTGGGGGACATTTCTTTTTGCCTTTTCGAAGGATCCAGAATCCTCCATGTCACATCTCCCCATACGTCAACATCCACACACACACACACACACAGACAGAGAGAGAGAGACACACAGATACACCCTGGTCACCCTGGCCACCCCCTTCTTTCCTAGCCCACATCACATCCAATTCAAGCAGCAGTCATAATCTTGCAGTGAAAATCTCTTTCTCGTTAAACCATAGGCTGTAGTATATCGTGGATACGGCAACATCCCATCGTTTCACTGCATATCCTTCGATCGGCTGCTGTGTAACGGATTCCGTGCTAGATCAGGCCGCCAGGGCTGATTGGAATCCACTGTGGGAAATTTGATATTCTACAGGGTCTAGTGTATATTCACAGTAATCAGTGCCTTTTGCAATACATTATCCCAGAGTAATCTTCTAGAGAAAAAGAGACGATAGGCCAGAATTATCCTGTCTGCATCTGACATTGACATTGACATTGTTCTCCGCATGATGAGTGAACCTTGCATATACGACCTATCAAATCATAATACGAGACGGTTATGTTTAACCGGCAGTTGGTGGGCCAATTTAATTTAAGGTCTGGAGACCGGTCTACGCTACTCCGTACTCCGTACTCTGTACAATATGTATAGGTATGCTCGTACGACCGTACTGCACAGACCAGAGTTGAATTAGACAGATCGTGTTCTCTAGAGCTGAAGAGTTGTCTGCATATCAGAAATAAATATACATATATATATATAATATAAATCAGTTTCGTACATTGTACAATGTATTGTAACTATGTCGTGTAAACCATCTACTGCATATATATCCGTGAATCTTCGGGTGAATCATGCACACCTAGGAGGCCTAAGATAAGGCAAACCCCCTATACAATCACGAGATTCTAGAACAATAAACAGGATCAAGCTAACGGCAACGTAAGACGAAAAGAAGAAATAGATCATCCAAAAAATAAGAGAAATAAGCAGCCTCCGTGGGTTCGTCACGAAATTCCACGTGTCACTAGTGCTTATGAGGTACTCCTCCCCTCTCCACAGCCAGGATCAAGCGGCTTCTTGGCTTGGGGGCGGACAATGGTGGCTGGCTATGATACCTAGTATCAGGATTATACACTCCAGAACTAATATGATGCACAATATACATTGTACTCCATCTTAGATACTAACCTCAGGAAGGGAAAGCTAGGCGAGAAACTAATCACTTCGACATAGAGACTGAAGTTATACCCACTTTGCCTAGTCGTGAAGAAGATCGGCAAGGGAAAAATAGACATCCAATAGTGGACTGGAGATTAAAGTGCCATGGAAGGACGGGAAGACATCATGCGATATATGTATATATTCCTTTTGATTCAAGAATTCAATAGGGGGTTTCTTGTGGATATCCCGCGTAGCGGATTGGTGTATTTTGATAATTCTGTATATTAATGTATATATCATAACTAATGTTATCCACGCGGAACAATATGCCACATAGTTACTCAACCAAAGAGTACGGAGTACGGAGTACAGTCAAGAGGGTTGATAGGTAATATCATTATCCTAATGCGTACTACTGCACTCCACAGTAAGGCGTAATTAACGTAATGGAAATATAAAATACAGTGACATCTAAGACAGCTACCTAATATAAGTTATGTACAACAGAAAAGTTAACCTTGTATTTTAGAATTTTCGACCGGAGATCCTCATTCGCTGCTTCGCTTATCATTTCTTTATGATTTGCGCGTTGATCGATTCTAGAAGCGTAATCCGGAGTCTAGTCCTTTTAGAGTACAACTTCTTTGAACTCAAACTGTGATAATTTCTTTTTTTTTCAAACCCAAAAAATTGGAAACAATTCCGCGTTAATTACGCAGTAATTCCGCCTTTTGTCTTTACCCTTGCGGGTTTCCTTTTTTGTAAAACCTACACTCTTCATGACTTGCCGAAAAGTTAGATCTCCTTCAGACAAAGGTGACAGAGTACGACTCCGTACCTACCTCACCCTAGACTGGATATGGAAAAAGAAGCTGAAAGCGCTAGTAGATACTGGATATTGAGCTAGCTTGGCATATTATATTCCCTATTTATGATTCGTGAGGCGGACATTCGTACCTGGTCCAATAATACAATGTTACAGGGGTATATTAAATTAGTAGGATGCTAGCATGACGATATTGAATATCCAAAGCCGAGTGCCGAGCTAGCACATCTAACATACACAACTCAAAACAGGAAGATGATCGTGTCCAATTTCATTGCGGGTGAGCAGCGATGGGTCGAACCGTGCAGGATTGGGCCGGCCCCCGTTTAATCGTTTTTAGTGGGAATGAAGGGCGTGGGGTCCAAGAAGCGGAGATATGCGGATATAAGACCTTCCACTAATATGTATTGCACATCAACCATAGTCTAGTAAATGTGGGAATGTATCCCGGACATGAGTAGTATACTCTAGTTAACTAACTAGTTATACTACTCCGTACATATAGTATGGGATATACAACTAATGCTTCTACTAATGTAGGCGTCGTGTCTAGCGCGGGAGAAATCCCGCATTAGTACTATGCGGCTGAGATATACACCGAATCCGCGTGGGCGAAAAGGCAGAAGCTGAATGAAGTTGGGCTCCCCCTCCCCGGTGGACTCGGACCCGAATCGGAAGGCCGAGAGGAGTTACGGGGTGTGCCCAGATGAGATCTAGTTGATTACTAATTCATATTTTTTCTTTGACAAATTTCCACCTTATGGATTCGAAGTTTGAAGGAGAATACGGAGTAGCCAAGAGATGGTTCGTTGGAGATTACCCGAGACCCATGATCTGATGTTGCAACACTGGCGCCCGGCTTTTACGCCTTTAGCGGGCCCAACGGCCAACAGCCAACAGCCAACAGCCAACAACAGCCAACACTTTGCGGCATTACCAGGGGGTTCGGGATGGTCGCTCTTGCATGCAGGAGGTCACTGTCAGGTGTTCTCGCGCCAATGCAGGATATCAATGCGCTCAGCACTTATTTTTAGTTCAATAGGTTAGCTTGTTGGCTTGTTGGCTAGTTAGTTGGTTTAGTTGTATAGTTATGTTGTATGTCGCCAACTCAACAATGTAACCAATGTACGGAGTACAACGTGCATGTTCCATCCACTAATCCAAATTAAGCGCTATTCCGCGGTCTTAAAACGCTCAAGTCCAGTAAAAGTATCATACCACGCGTTCTTAGATCTGACAGTTCGGCGTAGTTCGGAGGATCGACTCCGATCCTTGGTTCGCCTCGACAACCATCTGAGCCTCAATAAGTCCGATCCATGGTTGGACGATGAGGGGTTTCAAGACCTCGTAAAGGTTATCCCTAGCTAGGAATTATTTGGAATATCATCAGAAATGTACCAGGCAATATAGGTATCATTGTAAACCGACTTTTACATGCGTCAAGGGGGTTTACCTACTTCTACAGAGTACATATTGAATTACAGATTGGAGAACATTTTGTCTGGTCCGTTGTGGGGGAAAGAGGGAATCTAAATATCCCCCTCTTCCTCTCTAGGTAACTAACGTTTCTGCCCGCTCGAAGATTGTGGGTTCCCCGAGTGTTGCGCAGTCACTGCGCGTCTCCGGTCCAGGGCCCATCCAAGACATGTTGGGATCCTGATATCCCTACCATGCAGCATCCATGGTGCATTCTTCGGAAATTTGCGCATCAAACGAGTCATTTTTTTTTACCCTTGTCGGGGGTATCCCGTTTCAAATGTGGGAATTGGAGACTTTCAGGAAATGAGCTCGAGAGAAGAAAAGAGTCCAGAACTAAATGGATTCTAGATCGAGGTCGGAAAATGCCCCCAATTAAACTACAATGGCTCATATCTAACATACACAAGCAATATGGGAAAACATACTAAGAAACTGGTACCCCCGATGTCACCCAATTAATTGCGTGCTTTGGTCGTGGGGCAATCGGCGGCTATCGCTAACGTCTAGCAACAGGACATAGCGTTGTTAGGTTGCTGACTTGGGCCAGCTGCAGAAAAGGCCTGGAGAAAACAGACAAGAATTTGGAATTCATAACCCCTGCATTTACTATGTAGATTCTCATAATTGAGAAGCTGTAAACAAAGAAAAACCTCTCATCCCCCCAAAGAATACAAAGAGAGAAAAAAAGTACACCAAAAAAAAGGGGAGTTTCGACACATCTGATCTACGCGGCTCAGACAAAGAAAAAGAAAAGATAAAATCCTCAGATATTTTAACAATAGGAAAAGATGATTGGTTAGATACAGATGAATTTTGGACCAATCTGCCCACGTTATGAATTTAAATGAAATTAAAAAAAAAAAAAAAAACCAGAAATATCAATTTAATTTAATTATTTTAGTTTGGACGCTCTAGCTGATGGTTGGCCGTTAGAGTGCCAGGACATGCCAATTATGCACAACATGACTCGCGCAATGTGACGATAATTAAACTTGAAAAATTACCATGTTCTTTTTGCTGCAACCATGGATTGAGCACCGGTGATATGTCACTATTCAGGAAGTAGATGATCACTGGGTCGTAGGCAGGTAGGAGGGGGGAGTTCAAGCGCGATGCATAGTATCTGCATACATGCTTTTAGTGTACCATTTTTGCTATATTGTGTGATGGGTTTCAAAAAGTAAATATGAGGGAAAATGTAACCATTCGGGGCTAGTATTGTACTAAACCATTATATTACCACTAAACCCTCACGTGATCGAAACGGGCTGCGGCTACGCGACTGACGAACGCCAGAAGTATTGTGATTGGACTTGGTGGAGAGCGGCAGACAAAGAAATCAGAGTGGGGGAGGAGAAGGGGGGGAGGGAAAGGCTGGTTTTAGCCCCGGGGGGAGCCATGTTGATCCGATCTGCACGGAATCGGGGGCTTCAGGGACTAGGATTGCCTGTGAGGAGAGGCTTGCCAAGGGGGGTCTCGGAAGTAACGGGCCATACGGAGTACAGAACGGGTGGATGACGCCCTAATTGAGTATTGATTTCACGCTTGCGCAAGTTGACTGCGCCGCAGAGATACGATCACAACGCTTCTGCCTCTTTCTTGTGTTGTCTTTCTTTTTTCTTTTTTTTTCTTTTTTCGTTTCTGGCCAATTTGAGGAAATTGCGTGGATCAATGTCTCCAAGTGATTAGAAAAATATTTATATATTTGATACCTTGACTTGACTAGGGTATACCTAGGAATACCTACCTATACCTACATATACCCTATATTATATACTTTCTGTTGTTCTCAAATAGAATAAGTCTAAACGGTAAAGACCGTGAAGAAAATCCAAGGAAACCGTTGGCGGCTGCAGATGACTGACGATCGACCTGGTCAAGGCGCAGATCGAGGGCAAAAATGGCGCAGAGGAAAAATATTATCACGCGAGTAACATCATATGTAGTCAACAGGGGCGGGTCCGTAAGTGGACATGTATCGGCACGGAGTTGATATTCTGTTTTGAGGTAATGCAAGTTGACTGCGTGGGAAATCCGCTTTCTGTATCGGCTGCTGCCGAGTTGACGCTGGAGCTCATTATTGGATTTCCCCAATTCCCCCGCGTCCGGTGTTTGGAACAAAAAGACGAACCATGGTTCCATGATTTGGTATATCTCAAGATTGGAGATGAGTTAGTTACCTAGGTAGGTACAAAGTATTATTTTGTATTGGCATTCTCGGAAGCGCCGTAAAATGCCCTGAAGAGGTTAAAGGAGAAGAGAAACTATGTGCTACGGTCAAGGATCTCATCCCTCTTACCTCATAATGCGCCTGGTAACCTGGGAAAGACAGATGTGTGTTGGCAGTGCCAAATTGAGCTTGCATTAGCTCTTCACGCTCATTCGTCCTGACATCCCAGGGCCATGGCGTACGTAGCAACAGATGACTTTTGCGTCTACCAATAGACGCCGCGCGTTTGTGTTGGTTTTTTTTTTTTTCTTTTTCTTTAATTTCTGCACTCTTCCCCCCACCCCCATCCCACACATTCATGACCTCGAAAAAAAAAAAAAAAAAATAGTAGTAAAAAAAGAAAGAAGATAAACAAAAAAAAAACACACAGTCAACACCTGACTGTATCAATTAGTCTATCCACTTCTCACATGAACAACGGGTACTTAGTAGCGTTGGACAGCACGAATGAAACACTGTCACTAAAACTGATAATGCACACACGATTTCTTTCCTTCCTTTCTTCACCTCTCTGTTTATTTTTATTTATAATTTTTATATTAACTCATATGCGTCCCCGAAGCTGAATCTCAATCGAGCCTATCACCTAACTACTTATGCAATAGCAAGGCTGCACCCTGTACAGTGAGAAAGAATTTATCTCTGGAAAATCGTTCATTTACATACCCGTGGACCCTCGAATGTTCTCGGGGAACTACTTTTTGATATCGGTTCTACAGCAAACCAAATCCGGGATTTGTCATTCATAAACTTCGCCTTGGCGCTAAGATTGCAAAAGGCTAAAGGTAAATTGTAATTTTGGTTACCGCGTGGCCCCCGTTTTTTTTTTTTTGTAACTTGCATATATACAATACAAGAAAAAAAAAAAAAGGAAAAGGAAAAAGGAAGAAAAAAAAGAAAAAAAATTAGAAGATCGTCCAGATTGTGTCATAAAGCTAGAGGAGCTAACCAACGGTACGGGCAAAATTGCCGCGATACTTTTTTTCTATACAAAGAAAAGAAGGATTCAAAAAAAAAAAAAAGAAAAACAGGTAGAGAATCGGGGGAGACCGAAGCCATTGCCACATCAAAAGATATCAAATTAAATTCGTGGCGAAAATAATAATTAATCAACCTCTCTCCATACGGTCTCTCCACTAACACCGAACACGGAGTAAGAGTCCGGTTCACCGGTCCGTTTAATTCCCTTTATTATTTTAAATTATATATTATATATTTTATTATTTCGAATAGCAGTCTCTCTGGGGGTGGAACCAAACCTCCTAAAAAGAAAAGGACCCCTGTTAGCCCAAGGAGCCTTGTGTATCCGCGGTACACAACTATACAGGGGGGCCAAAGGAACACAACCAGACCCAGGCAGTCGGTCCAGTGCACCCAACAGCGCTGTTAGTCTGAGAACTTGTGGTTTTTTTTTTTTTTTTGGATTTTCGGAATCCTTTTTCTCTCACATTTAAGACCGAGTTGTATTCCAGTGTCTTTTTCTTTTCTCTAGAGTTCCGAGATCTATAAACCTTGCCCGTTACCCCAAAGGCATATCATACTTCCTCACTTTCTGTACTTCACATCGTCCATTGGCTCTTTGATATAGAACCTCTATATCCCCACATCTATTCTCAGACCTGGCCTGAGCATTCTGGGGGATCGAAAGCTTGGTCTCTATAAATTCCAATCTTCAGCCAAAACTTCATACGTACTGGCAACCCCGAAAAAAAAAAAAAAAAAAAAGAAACAAAACAAAACAAAATCGATGATCTCCAAAATGGCCACACACACAGAATCATATTCAACACTGCCATCAGCTCGACAAAGCAAAATGAAAATCGACGCCTTACTGAACCCAGGCGATGAAGAAATCTCTCCACGAACCCAACACGCCTCAATCCCACCATCCCACCGCCACAGTTACCACTATCAAGCCTCACCAAGCTTCCCCCAAGCCCAAACTACTGGTACAACCGCTCCTACCACGACACCAGCCCAGGCGCACTCTCAAACACAACAACGGCAACAAACCAGAGCACCAGCACAAACGCAAGCCACCACAGCGTAAACCCATCTCAATCCCACCAGATGTTCTTCAACTACCGCCCCAGCGCAAACGCACACCGCACAAGCGCAAGCACAAACCAAAGCTCGCTGTCCGCGCCTTCCTCGCCGGACCCTTACCATTCCCGTGAGCGCTACTCAAGCGTCTCCAGCTCGTCCTCGACAAACGGCGACCGTCGTCGTCCTCCCCGTCCAAAGTACGAGGAAGAGGAAATGTACTTCATCTGGTACCACCGTGTCGATCTGTGTCAGGAGTGGAAGGAGGTCAGGGAGGCTTTTAATCGTCAGTTCCCGGACCGTCAGAGACGCGGCTTCCAGGGTATCCAGTGCAAGTTTTATCGCTTCATTAAGGAAAAGAAGTGTCCCACTCTGCGTGAGCAGAGGCGCATGCGGGATGGGGAGTTCCTGAGAGAGGGGGGGCTTCCGCTGCGCTTGCTGGGGATCATGGGGCTGCGCCCAAGTTTGGGGTTAGGGAATATACTAATGTTTGGTATTCTTGGATGAGGAAGGAGGGGGATGTTGCGTTGCGACGGTGATTTTTCTTTGTTCTTTGGGATATATGTTGGGATTCGTCTTTTTTTTTCTTTTTCTTTCCTTTTTCGTTTCTTGGGAGGTCAATTTGTTCTACTGTTCTTTGTTTTTGCGTGGGTCGGTCTTCGTCTTTATTTAAGATACCTCTATTCAGTCAGCGTGGGAGGTCTACTTGTCTTTTTGATGTTCCCTCGTTATCCAAATCTTCCACCAGGGTTCCTGTCTTTTCGTTCCTTTTTTGTCTTTCGACACTCTCACTTCCTACACCCTTTCAACCTGGGAAGTTCGTTCCTTGGGTATAATATCTACAATACATCGTATGGAGCAATCTATACGAGAGTCACACCATTCAGATTTAGATCTAGATCTAGATATTATGATATTACTATAAAGACTTGTTGAATTGGAATTAAACCCATTTCTCATTTCCTATCTAGCCAGTTATTCGGTATGACGAATCACACATAATCTCTGCATATCTAAGATTACCCTCTCTGCATTATTGTTCAACCACATTCACATCCTCAGATGATAACCCTTGCTTTTGTCCTTGAGATATGCATTCCAAATCCAAACGCACATGGTCCTTCCTCACCTTCGATATTCGGCTGAGTCCCGGCCTCATCTGACCTCCCAACCCAGGAAGGATAGCCGGAATAACCGTTGAATTCGATGAGATCATATATCATAGATTATAGATCATAGATATGATACCAAGCATCTACTTGGTATTCGTACATATGCACCACTACCACAGCCATTGTGTGATTCTCACTAGAACCGTATGGAGTACAAGTACAATCCAATTAATCAGCACAGCCGGCCGGACCGTGCTAAGAAAAGAACTTATCCACAGCTCGGCCAATCCATCAGATCCGTCGATCGTGGGGTCCTAATCCTTCACGCCATAGTTAGTTAATATTTCGAAGTACTCCATATCCGTACTAAGTTCTATGAAGATCACGTTCTGTGGATTCTATACTACTGCATAGTGCGAACTCGACAATTTATCTGTGGGTGGGTACTTTTATTTTTATTTTTGTGACATCCTCGTATTCTCTTTCCTATCTCCATTCTTTCGTTCATAGTGTATGCAAGAATGTAAGAATGGCGGAGCAATGTATCTGTATGGATTAGGACTCCCCATTGGAGCTTCCCAAGACTCCTCAGAGGCTACAGGCATGCTAGGGGGCTTGGGCTAAAGGATCGCATTGTTAGTTCATGGTACTTATGTACAGTTCAATATATACCATGGGGGCCAATTGCCATGCTTTCAATCGGTAATCAGTGGTGTGGTTTGATATAGAGGGATTTGTTAGTTACTCTGTAACTAGTTAACTGATATATAGATGCGTATTAAGGATAATCATACTAACTAGTTAGGTTGTATAGTTAACTAGTTATGTATATATGTGCTAATAGATGATATTCGATAATAGACAGACAGACCAAAACAGAATTGACATGTCGCGCTTCGGCGTTTGCTTTCTTTGCTTTTATTTCTGCTATTGTCTCCTTTTTGACCTTACCTATGTTGTACTTATTGTCCTAGCTCGGTGACTACGGATTGTAAAATAGAGATCGTCAAAAAACCAAAAAAAAAAGAAAACATGAATGTAAATGGGGCCAATCCTGTCAATTCCTAGCGTGTCCAGGTTCGGAGATGTCACTCGCGGGCTCTATGCGTTCCTTTTTCTTTTTTTTTCCCCTGACAGAAAGATAAATCCCGATCCGTTGTCTCAGCCTCATTGTTTTTAGACATTGTTGAGTTGTCGTATTAGTATTCCGGGCTGTGGGGCTACGAAGGCAATAAGGGGGCCGATCTGTAAGTTAGGTGTGTTGAGTACGTTTATAAATGCGCCCATATGAAATGCAAAACATGTTATTATGTGTAGTAGTAGTCTATAACGAAGAGGAATCTGTGAATTGCCTAGACTATGATATTTAGTTGGATAGGATGTTGTATGTTGTAGTTAGTAGTGTATAGTACGGGTGATATATATAGGCTGAGGTGATTGGTCGCTTTCCAGGGGAAAATTCAGGCGGAAAGGTACTTTTGCGAGCGTATGTTTCGTATAATACGATCTAGCCGTATCAAGCGAACTGTGGATTTATGGATATTTTCACCTTTCTATTGCAACTTTCTTACTCGGTGTACGATCTAGGTAAGATGAAGCGTAGAAGTGTAGAAGTGTAGAACAAAAAAGACTGGGCTCTGCAATATAGAAGTGACACAGCCTATTGTGTGACAGTGCTGCGACACAGGAACCTATCTTGAATTCAAGGCGACTCTCGAAATTCGAACGGAGTAATACTGCATATGGGGTAATTTGCATGCATGTACGGAGTATGATTGTAAGGTTGGACTGGCCTGAGCTGGCATTCTAGTACAGCAAAGTGGTGTATATTGTATATTGTATAGTTATTGTATACGGAGTACAGATTAATATACTACAATACCAATTCATCCATAATAAAACCTAACATTTAGACAATTCCAAAGCTATCCACTTCGGTTCGACATCCCCGGCGCTACAATTCACACTAAATTCTCAAAACTCCACAGTAACCTCTAATCGACCACTATTCCTCTTTCGCACTGTCGAATTCCATCAGCACTAATATGGAAAGAGGAAGAGGGGCACTACAAATGCCGATATGGTTTGTGACTAATCTGATTTCAATCAGCCAATCAAGTAGGGTTTATTATCATGTATATGCTTCTTTGGTGTCGGATATTTTCTTGAGACGGCATTGAGGTTGTGCGAGGGTGTATGTGATATAGGGACCTAGGTTGTACGGGTAAGGTGGTGTCCACAGGGGTATGTCGGGCATTGTCATGGTACTGCATCTCAATGTTGGATTGCTCCTACTGTAGCAGCCGCTGTACACCGTATTGGGGGTTCCTATGATCTGTGGTTAAAATCCTCAATGGAATGTTAACTTGGAATTCATTGATTGGGCTACGCTAGATAGTACCATGTCCTAACAAAAGGAAAAATTACTAACTAAAGACCCATCGAAAACAAAGAGCAAGATCCGAATACAGAAGTGTTCGCTTTGAGCTGCATATCTCCTTCACTGTGATCAAATTAAATAGCCGTAATGACTATCGACACCGTCAGGGCTGCCGATGGATATGAAGTTCATATGAAACTACTCCACGGCGAGGATTGCAGAGAACATCAAGTTGGGCTCATCCATGAAATGGAACCCATCAGAAAGAGCGCATCTGATGAAATAACTAGTTAGTCAACAAAGAACGCGCGTGGTGGAACTTTTAACCGGTAACCTACGGGTCAACTTCGAAGCTGGCAATGCAGTCGTACGCTCCCTCCTTGATGCTTTGCAAGAAGTCCCAACCGTCGTGGAGGTCATAGAAGAAGACGCGAACATCAATACCAGCCTTAAAAAGACAAGTTAGTAGGGACCAAAAGCATAGATATACTGGCGTCTAAACTTACCTCAGCCTGCTTGATCAGAATGTGGTCAAAGCCCTTGCTACCCCAGACAGGATCAGCGGCAATGCCCAAGATGTTCTCGTTGTCGCTAGTCTTAAAACCAGTTGGAAGATCAGAGAGACAAACGACACGGGAAGCGCCCTCTTCGACACGGTTCGAAAGCTCGGCATTATCAGGCAGACCCTCCTCTGGCATGGTAACGGAAATAGTGAGGTCGTCGTCACCATCCTTCAGCTTGATGCCGTCGGAGTGGTTCTCATGGTATCTGACGCAGTCGTCTTGCTCAACAAACTGCACAATAACCTCGCCATTCTCGCTCCAAGCGCGCTCGATAGCACCACCGTAGACAAGCTGCAGGACGCTAGAGATATTCGCCCACTCAGGAAGATTTCCGAAAACGATTCGACGAGGAGGTCCAGTAGGGGCAACCTTGGGTGCCATTTGCTTCTGCAATTGAAGCAAACGGAATTGCTTCATGAAATCAGCGGGAGCAGTAAGACCTCTGGTCTGCTTGGGGGAGCTAGTGGACTCCTTGTCCCCGGTGGACTCGAGCCTCTGGGATGCCTTGGAACTAGCGATAGAGTCATTGTCTGCATCCTTGTTTTCGGTACCAGCTTTAGCAGGAGTTGTCTTAGTAGGTCCAGCCGTCGCCTTGCGAAGAGTACTCTTCAGAGGCGCCTGAGCTACTCCATCCTTGAGTCCAAGGGCCTTGCCGGCGGCAGCGGCAGGAACAAATGGCTCAGCGCGAGGATCAATACCAGAAGACTTCTGGGCACCGGGGGTACTCAAAGCAGTGACACGAGAAGGGGCATTCTTCAGGGTGACAACGGGGACACGCGAGTCGGCAACACGAGAAACATGAACTTTCTTGTCCTATGAAAGATCAGCGAGACAGAAGTAACAAAGAGACACAAGTGTTATTCTCGAGAATGGTTGGAGTTGAAGGGGTCGATGAACAAAAAATATAACAGTAAAAGCAAGGTCAGAGAAGGAAGCGAGTCAAACAAAGAAGCACATGAACATGTAGAGGGAAAGGTCAAGGTGTGGATGGGGTGTGGATGGGGTGTGGATGGGGTGTGGATGGAGGGAAAAGTGCGACATACCCTTTCGAGATTCATGGCCTTCTCAATATCCTTCGAGACATCATAGAGCTTGGGAGGGCCATCCACCTCCAGCTGGGTGGAGGAGCGATGAGCCTTGACGCGAGCTGACACAGTCTGCACGCCAGCAAGGCGATCAGCGCGAGCCTGCTTACGAACAGCAGCAGGGGCGTGCATGCTCTCCTCCAGGCTGATCATGTCGCAGTTGGAGATCACGTCGCAGATGACCTTGGTGGTGATACGAATATCGGCCTGTCTGTCGAGAGTGATTGGAGCAAGACCGTTAGGTCCAATAACCTTGGGTTTCTCCATGATGCAACAAGAAAGAAAATCGTGATGAGGTAGAGAAGAGGGAGAGAGGAAGAGGAGGAAAACAAAACAATTTATTTCGGAGGTTGGACGTGTCTTGGGATGGTTGTGTATTTCAATTGGGAAGGTACGCCTCTTGGCTTTCGAGTCGAGGGGAAGGAGCAATCCACCTGGGCAATTCATCTATAGGAGTCATGATAGCCATAGTAGTTATACTAACTACTATGAATATTACTATAACTATCTAGAACTAGTTACTGCCTTTCTCATTCCTCCAAGACCAAGTCTAAAGATCTAGGCATGGGCATCAAGATGTAATGGCACAGATATATATCATATACTCTTAATATGTTCAATTGGAACAGGTTTCTAGGAAGACACACTGTTCTCACAATATCTAACAAAGAAATCTCCCAGTGAACAAACAGTGCTCTTGATTGCTTTTCTGGAGACTACCACTATGTTCTAGGTGAATAAATCTTATTCATCAGGACACCGGAAGAGTGGTTGTGATACCTTTTGAGTGTGCTAGCAAGGTAACTTCAGCTATTCTTATCTACAATATAAAAACCTTGTAGGTAAAGATAAACGGAGATTGCATTGCCCTCTCGAGCTAGTTATATATTCTTAACATTCCCTCTTCACATCACTGTCTTACCTCATGATCCTGCTATAGCCTGGCTGTTATGTGTCAACCTCACATCCATGTTCTTTTGCCTCACAAACCACGCATTAATAATCTCCCATTCTGCGCTAGGATCATTGAATTCAATCTAGGGGAACCCCAGTTAGTGTCAGATCGCCAATCTCGGACTGAAAGCCATATTCTTACCTTGTATCTTAGAAATAGCGACGGAATCAACTTATATATCTCAAGCAGACTGACATTCTTGCCAATGCAAGTCCTCGGTCCAGCCCCAAAAGTAAATGTCGCACGCATCATCTTCTGCTTCCGATCCTGGAAACTGGTCTCAGACTCAGTATCCATCTTGAGCCACCGTTCCGGAACAAAGGACTCGACATCTTCCCCAAAGATGTGGCTCCGATGTACTATCCACGGATTGGCACCAACTATCGTCCCAGCCGGCAGAAATGGACCACCATCAGGAAGTTGGAGTCCCTCGGCCGGAACGACCCGCTCAAGCATCAATCCTACGGCCGGGTGAAGACGTAGTGCTTCTTTAATCACTGCATCGAGGTAGGGGAGTTGCTCTTGGCTTTGTTTCCATGAGACAGGTAAAGAGATCCGATTTTCTTCCAAGGCGACGGTGAGCTCTTGCTGAAGTTTCATACTTGCTCGCGGGTTCTTAAGGGTATAATACAGAATTGCTCGGAGAGAAATCGCTGTTGTATCGGAGCCAGCATTCATATTGCTGATCGTATATGAGAAGACTTGGTTATCGTTCACAATATTCGGGTGCTCATTTCTCGCTTCCAAGAAACGATCGAGAAAGTCCTTTTGCTTGTTGGCTACTGGGGACGTGCTTTTCTGGTTCAATCGTTCGTCTAGTCTTGCGCGAGCAAAGCGGGCCACAGCGCCGGTTGAACCCCCTCCGAAAAGACTCTTGAGAGGGTTCTTGATGAAAAGGTAGTCGAGCCATGGCATCTGCCCAATCTATTCCTCAGCCTCATTAGTTGTGAACTCAATCATACGTCGCAATGCCAACCTTTCCGGAATAGTCGAGCATATGTTCTAACGCGACGATGATTCCGTCGATATCATTCCCTTTCTCGAGGAACCCAAGTGGCTTACTGAACGTCAATTCTCCTATGACATCAAATGCATCTTTATAAGCTATGTTAGCTCCTGCTCTCATGTCCCATGGGAAGAAAAAGACTACTTACAGTATTGTAGCCAAGCAGCAATATCGCAGACTTTTGCTTCAGCTACAACCTCATCTAGTTTTCCAAATAAGGTATGAATGGTCTTATCCACAAAAGGCTCGAACTCAGTCAGGGTACTCATTGAGTAAGCTGATGAGATCGGCCTTTTAATAGCAGCATGGAAAACTTCATCGGTTGTGGTAAATAGTGTAGGCGTCGGTCTGCCTTTGGCAAGCTGCTGCTGAACAGAGTAGAAATTTGTCTTGCGAATGTTAGCGAAAAGGTCAATCAGCTTCTCGTTACTTGAGCTCACCTTTTGATATCCCTTATTAATGCCATATATAGTCTTCAGAGCATCCAAATTCCGCACACTGACCACGTTGGGTCCTAGTCGAACATAGTCCCCATGTTTTTGGTGGAGGTTGTAAAGGGTCACTTCTGCGCGACCATTGGCGACATCGATGAACCTCCAAAAGTTTGTTAACTTAGCCAGTAATGGTCCGGGTATTGACGTTACTCCTGGTTTGAAATAATTGCGAGTGAAGTGAAATAAGGCAAGAGTGACCAGGATGGCTGGTAGATGTGACCAGACTGAGATCAATGCTTCTGAGATGATGGCCATGGTGAAGTCCACAGGTATTGTCTGTTAGTGTGTTAGTATACATAATTACTAGACATACTATTTATGCATACACCTTCGATTGGGGAGATGCGGGGGAAATGCGGGGGAAACGGGGGAATTCCGCTCTTGTAGCTACCCGGGCGAGCCTCGCCTAGAGGAAGAGTATAGCTGTAGTAACTCACGATCGTACCTACATATAGATGTATCTGCATAGGCAGGTAAGTCTAAATGTAAAAATGCTGCCCAGGTGGGCGGGTGTAAAATAATGGTGGTACAGGCTGGTGGCCTCCAAAGCGGTCATTTTTGTCAATATCACACATGTGCTCAGAGATATAACTAACTAGCAAGTATTGGTCCACGTATTATTCATTTTTCTAATGCTCCTGGAGGTCTCTCCAACAAACCTATCAATACACCAAAGACACCAAAGGACAAGAAATCTATATAACAGGAATGGGTAGAATGGGTATTTGATTCCAGAACATTAAAGCTTCATCGACGGGATAGGAATGCCCTCGAATCCTTTCTGCCCGGGCTTGCGATTTTCAACAATAACTTGAAGCCCACGACGACCACAATAGCCATCATTGCCCGCAACCCGATCAACGACTTGGAAAGAGCCACCATCATGCCCAGCATCCGGAACCCACACAGTATCCTGCACAGTTTGACCGGGGACTTCCGTGCGGCGGGGATTGTGCCAAGGCAGACCGACAAGGTGGTTTCCAAGGTTATGGAGGAACGCGTACAGCCCCTCGAAGCGGCGGGTGATTCCCAGCCAAGAGAGGGTGCGGTGGTCATAAGCGGTCCGCACGAACGGGTTCATATAGATGCCCGTATCGGTTATCTCGTCGACGTTGGTTGGCGGATCTTGGATGTCCGCATGGATCAGGCAGCATTCGGACGCCTCCCAGAAGAGATCGTGTCCGGAGCGGAAGCGTGCTGGGTTGGGGGTTGTAGGCGGCGGCGAACCTTTTTGGAAGTATTTGGCATCAAATGCCACCATTCCACCCCAGCAGCTGCGAACACGCACTGCGTCTTTGCCGGCCAGGACATCGCTTCGGCTCTCGCCTTTGCCGGATGTGGTGAACCATGGGTAGAAGGGGAGACCCATGCTGTAGCCTTCAAGATCGCGGGTGGCATATGTGTCGTAGAATTTGATGGGGTTGTCGAAGTCTACGGCGCAGGCTGCACGGTATTGGGCAATACCCTCTTCGTTGGCGTTTGTTGAGAATAAGAGCTGGGGAACGTCGGAGGGGTGGAAGAGGATATCGTTCAGATATAGTAGCTTATCGAATTTCAGCTCCGGGTGGTCGGTCAATGGCTGTAGTGCTCGGTTCCGAGCCTGGGCTAGATATTCGATGCGCTTGATTCGCTTTGATCCACCGGGAATAGTCACAGTCGGAATACTCTTCAGGTCCAGGTGCTTTTCAGACACGATTGATTTCTGGCACTGCACTTTCTCCTCTAACGCGCGCAATGCGCGCTCTCCCTCATCACCGCTGTCGTTTTCATAGATACTCAGGAACACATTATCAGGTCCAAGCAAATCAATCAACTCCAGGAGTTGTGTCCCCCACTGGCCCTGAGCAAGCTTGCCACCGCCATCATACAGACTTGCTGCAATGAAGACCTTCTCTTGGCGGGGATTACCTCGTCCGGGATATGAGCTTTCAAGTACTGATTCGCGGAGTGTAGAGTAATGCGCGGGCAGATGGGTATATGATGGGAAAAGCATCGACGTGAAAAGTGCGAGTACAAAGACGATGCCGGCGACAACGGGGAGGTAGCAACAGCGGCGAATACAGAAACGTCGAGAACAGCTCGGTCGTGGTGTGCCTGCGAGGGCCGGTCTGGAAGGGTTGTTCAGGCGGCGATAACCTGCTGATGCCGAAGAGAGAAAACGGGATAGCCAGGGCAATTGGCGTTTGCCAAATTTGGATGAAGAAGGGACTTGGGCTTCAAAATCGGCTTCGTCGAGATTGAACGTCCCCTGCGAGTCAACTGAAGACCGTGAGGCAAGTTCCCATTCATCGGGATGGAGTAGTCGTGCAGTCATGGTGGATCGTGTCACCAAATGGGTATACACCCTTGGGACTTATCTTCAACCGCAAATTGATCCAATAAGATGGCTTGTTGCAGCCATTATTGGTGATAGTGAAAAGAAACCTGTTTGGTGATTTCCCCCGGCCCCTAAAGAGAACTTACATCATCAATTTGATCACGTGATACTGGCAAGTATATGATGGATGTACAACATGGAGGTCAAATATTTCTGGGCTTAAATGAATATGATTGTTAGATAGGGAGATAAAACACCAAATAAGAGAACCAAATGGAGACCCTCGTTGTTTATTTCATCATTTGGGTGAGTCCAGTAAGAAACAGATGTGTAACGTGATTTTCCGATGAAGTCTAGTGAGATTCCGACATGTAGTGACGTAGCTGTAGTTGGGGTATCCGTGGACAGCCAGTTCTGTTCGCGACCAGGTGAAATAATTTATCTTTCTATCCATACTTCGAACTGCCCAGTTTCACACTTAACTTACTCACTTGTTCAAATATCTGCGGCGTGGTGACTGAATATACTTCATCTGTGTTCATACTGTTTCCCCGCATTCCACAGCCCACCATGTCCCAATCGCAATTCAAATTCGTCAACTCAGACGCCGAAGTCCCAGGAAATGGTAGTCCTCCCCCAGAGTTTATCATCAATGCGCCAGCTTCCACAGATATATGGGCCAAGCCGCCCTCCACCACTCGCTTCTCAGCCCCGATCTTGTACAAATCTGTGCCGTTGAAGTCATTCAAGCGGACCCGCGTCGCCTTCAATGCCCTTTGGGAGAAGAATTATGACCAGGGCGGCATAATCCTTGTCCTGAATACCGCCGATGGTGGCCAGAAGTGGGTGAAGAGTGGTATTGAACTCACCAACGGCAGACCCCACCTCAGCGTTGTCGCCAAAGACAACTGGGCGGACTGGAGCCTGTTTCCAGTGCCCTCAGGCGGTGGTGCAGCAACTCTTGAGTTGGTCAAGGAAAAGGACAATAGTCTGTGGATCTATCTTGTTGAGGGTTTGCAGAAGTCCCCTATCCGGGAGGTCACTTGGGTCTTCGAGGAGGAGAATGTGAAGGACTTCTGGGTTGGTGTCTATGCTGCTCGGCCATCAAGTGAGGGTGGGAAGTTCCCTGTCAATTTTGGTCATTTGATGATAGAGGAATAGATTAGTGGGATGTTGTTAGTTATATGCCCCAATAAGTAGATGGCGATGGCCAGCCACTACAAACAATGATGATACATGATGAATAGGGTAATTGAAATGAAGTAAAAGTAAGACTGCTTTTGATCGTACATTGCAATGGAGCACAGCAGGACATTCACGATCTATTCGGGTAGAGATAAGATACGGGCTTGCTGCATACGGGCGACTATAGGGATCACCGTCACATAACTCTCTCATTGGCTAGTGCCTTCCAGCCTTTTTATCACCGCCTTCTTGAAGTAAGGTACATTAATTTCAACTAGTTACTCTTTTCTTTTTACACCTAACTAACTAGTTAACCTATAAAGTGGGAGTAGGCTTAAGTTACTGCCTGGCAATATAAACCAATGAGATAGTTATGTGATGGTGATCCCTATAGTCGCCCGTAGCTGCAGACATACTACACCTCCCCAGAGTTTCAGGTCCACATCTGCGCCAAATATGTACAAGTAGTATATTGTTATCAGATGGGACTTACAACATAAGTACTGTGTCGGGTCTACCTTGTACTTCTAGACCTCTAGTTAACTAGTTATATGTGGCTACGTAGACTTTAAGGTCCTCTTTCTGTTCATATTCTCATTTGGATGCACATTTCTAATCGGAGTTATCTGATCCTACTATACCTAGTGTAGTGTAATCCCGACAATCGGGTGAATGCGCTGTACAAGACCTATTTGGGATGCCGAGGTCACACCAGTCGCGTGTTAATATGACACAAGTGGAGAAAAAGTAAATTAGTTAGAGATTCCTTCGATTTCTTCCGTTTCTTCCATCCCTTTTTCAAATTCCCCTTTTCACTACAAAGGATATCAGATATTATTCATTAAATGGATAACGGAAAGTGATATAGCTCCTGGTTAAATGACTGGGTTGTTATTCTGGTAGTGATAAAGTCAACTGAAGGGTAGCAATGCATGTTGCTGCCAGATAGTGGAGACATTTTTAATATATTATGTAGCTACGCAGTTAGTTCCCTTGATAAAAATGAAAAGAACGTACAACATACTTCCACTATAAATAATAATCCATAAAATCAAAATACCAAAAAAGGAAGATCAAACTTCCATCTTATCTGATGAAGTGAACCAGGGTAAAAGTGACTTGGCAGTACCAAAGACTCAGCTCATGCCACCAAGTGAACACATGTATTCCGCGGGTAGCCCCTCCGATTGTAACAGTCCCCGTGCCACCCGAAACTCCACCACCTTTTTTTTTTTAATTTTCCTCTTTGACACATCTTTACCTTTGGGGGAAAATAATACTTGGAAATCACCTGGGCATTTCTAAAATCCCAAAATGATGACTGGGTTATGACTGTGACACTGTCTCTTAAACTGTCTTGGTGCATCATCCTGGAATGTAAGAGATGAGCTGAGATCGGACCTCAGCCTCTCACCTCACCTCTCTCCCACCACAGACCCCATCAACGTGCATAAGTGCGACCGACAATCGGGCTTGGTGTCATTTTGCGCAGCAAAGCCAAGACTTACACTAATATCTTCAAGGCCTGCTTTCCCCTTACATTTGGGCGTCTCCCTCCGAAGCACGGCGGATCTACCCATCCGCCAATCTGCCCCATATCTGCCTACCGGATCCTTTTTTTTTTAACTTACAATAGCCCTTCATGGGTCGACCCCCGAGGCAAGCGCGCTTCCACGACTTTTTCACATATCGCGCCCCATATTATTTCCTTCTTGTCCTGGCCTAATCCGGTCTCCGATTCGCTGTTGACATC